TAGTTTACGAGAGAGTGAATATCCGCGACTTCAATTTCCAAAGTTCAACAGAGCGAAAGCACTTATTTTCTTTCCATCAATTCTTCCTCTTCAATCCATCCTTTCCCCTTCAATTTAAAAGCCAGTTCAATCGTTTTTCCTCGTGGCTTAAGCCTCGTAATAATAGGACAATCATGTCGTCTCCTTTCAATGCTGTATGTTTATCCCTATCAACAACTTTTTTGGTCTATGTCCAAAGTCTGGATAATCTGACCGCAACTTCCCCAAATAGTTCTCATCTGGGGTTTGTTCTCACATTTCGAAGTTCGATCAATACTAACTCGGCGATTTTCCTAGATTAAGATGCGAAAAAAGAAGAATGTCAAGAAGGGTATCCAGTTCTGTTTGATGGTCTGTGGTGCATCCGGCACAGGTACGATAGCACATCACACTTATGGATATTATAGTGGTATTGACTGGATTTCACAGGAAGAACCACTTTCGTGAACACTTTATGCGGCAAAAAGGTCCTCTCTGGCAAGGATGCCGACGATGCGACAAATGCTCATGTCGAGGAAGGCGTTAAGATTAAGCCAACCACAGTTGGTAAGCAACATTTGGATCTATAAATCCTATCTAAATTGGACATCGTCTGACACTCTTGCAGAGCTGGAATTAGATGAAGAAGGAACCCGTATTTCACTCACAATTGTCGACACACCTGGCTTTGGAGACCAAATCGACAATGAGGCAAGGTAGGAGAGACAATTTACAACATGAACGATTCTAGCTGACAGATGCGAAGTTTTGGAGAGATTGTTGGCTATCTTGAGAGACAATACGACGATATTCTAGCGGAAGAATCCCGTATCAAGCGTAATCCTCGTTTCCGCGACAATCGTATCCATGCATTACTTTATTTCATCACCCCTACCGGTCACGGGTATGTCGCATCTCAATCTTTACCTCCCAATTTCAAGCTGACGTACTTCATAGCCTTCGCGAATTAGATATCGAGCTTATGAAGCGTCTCTCCCCTAGAGTTAATGTTATTCCAGTTATCGGAAAGGCCGATTCCTTGACACCCGCTGAACTTGCAGAATCAAAAAAGCTTGTCATGGAGGATATCGAGCACTATAGAATTCCTGTCTACAACTTTCCTTACGATATCGAGGAGGACGATGAGGATACAGTTGAGGAGAATGCTGAGCTTCGTGGTTTGATGCCATTCGCCATCGTAGGATCAGAGGATGTTGTTGAGATTGGTGGACGTCAAGTTCGTGCAAGACAATATCCATGGGGTGTTGTAGAGGTTGATAACCCAAGACATTCCGACTTCCTTGCCATTCGAAGTGCCCTTCTACACAGTCATTTAGCAGATTTGAAGGAAATAACCCACGATTTCCTGTATGAAAACTACCGTACTGAGAAGCTTAGCAAGAGTGTTGAAGGTGGTAGTGGAGGGTATGTTTTATTCATTCTAATCATGATTGATAAATGCTAATAGCTCTACAGTGATGCTTCTATGAACCCTGAGGACCTGGCCTCTCAATCTGTCCGCCTAAAGGAAGAGCAACTCCGCCGCGAGGAGGAGAAGCTCAGAGAGATTGAGATCAAGGTGCAACGAGAGATTGAGGCGAAGAGACAAGAGTTATTGGCTCGTGAGAGTCAATTGAAGGAGATTGAGGCTAGAATGCAACGCGAGCAAACTGCTCATCTTGAAGCAACCAATGGAACGCACACGTCAGCGGAGGCTGAAGCTTAATGGTGATGATGATGTACAGGGGAAATGTGTTTATGCGTAAAACATGGATGGATGACTGGTGGCGATGGAGAGGCCTGTCGATTGCTGCATACGCTTTCGTTCGGATTTCTGGGGCTGGGGATTTTCTTTTTGCAGGTCGTTGACGGCGCTGCATTTATTCTGGCTCCTCAAAAAGCTAATACCGTAGTTTCTTATTGCCTTCTAATGTGCAGCTAAATCGATATTTATTTCTTATTAGGTCAATAATTTTTGAAAACAACAGAGCTACCCTGGTGTACATGATATTCTCAGTGATGTGCTTTTTGTCTTGTGTTTGAGTATGGCGAATATCATACATGCAAAAGTTTATTGTCGTAAATTGACATGTTGATTCACCACGAAAACTTGACAGACATTTTTAATTACGCTGCAACATCAATTATTCTCATGTTTCAATTACAATGTAGCTATATAAATCATGCACATTTTTCCTTTGAGGAGGCGGCGCTAATCATACAGTTACACCCCGTCATCATATGACATTACATACATTACGTTAGGCTTCCTCGGCACTTTAACTATTGCCTCTCCGCAGTGCCTCATCTAGACTCAATCATTTCAACACCACTATTCAACTTTTCAACGCTATTATCGCAGTGCATCGCAAATCATCAACGATCACTTTTTCGAGACACCAATAAACTATGGCGTCGAACACAAAATACACTCGCGCTTCCCAGCGAGACTCGCTCGATGATCCCGCACATTATTCGCAAGCCCCTCCATCTTATGCTGAGCCTTCTACATCTGCGGATAATGATGCTCTCCTAGGAGGACCAAGAAGCAGTGAGGACAACATTCCGGATGACTTCAAGGTACACAAAAGACCTACAGCTTACCATTCGCAACATATAATCTAACAAAGGTGTAGTTTGGAGGTTCTGTCGCCGAAGCAACTATCGAGATCCGAATGCAGGTATGAAGAGCTGGGTCATCAATAATCAGACTGTCCAATTTCTAACATTCCTTTTAGTTTGTCCGAAAAGTCTACGCTATCCTGTTAGTATTGCGCAACTCTACCAACATGATCTCGTTGTGCTAATTTTCTTGTCAGCTCTGTACAACTCATTGCCACAGCCGCTCTAAGCTCCGTCTCCTTCTTCAGCGAATCCTACAAAACTTGGATCCAGTCAAACACTTGGATGTTATGGACTTCGGTATGTTAGATTCTTCTAGCAACACTTGGATAATACTGATACTTGTAGATGTTTGGCGCAATTGGTTTCATGCTCTTGACCTACTGGAAGCGAAAGTCATATCCAACCAACTTGTTGTTTCTTGGAGGATTCACAGCGCTCGAGGCGTACTCGATATCGGTCATCGTATCGACATTTGATTCTCGCATTGTTCTTCAAGCCGTCTTACTTACTGCCGGAATATTTGTTGCGCTGACACTCTTTGCCTGCCAAACCAAATATGATTTTACGTCATGGATGCCTTATCTCTTTGGTGGACTTTGGGCATTGATTCTCTTCGGATTCATGGCCATGTTCTTCCCAAACAACAGTACGGTTGAGTTGATTTATTCTGGTATCGCCGCTCTTATCTTTTCCGGCTACATTCTCGTTGACACCCAGCTCATTATGAGACATTCTCACGTGGAGGAGGAGATTGCAGCAGCTATCAGTCTTTACCTTGACATCATCAACCTGTTTTTGGCCATTCTCCGAATCCTCAACAGCCAACAAAATAACTAGAGAGGATGCTATGATCAGATAGTGGCATCGGGAAATGACCGAAGCAGGATGCTATCTTGCTTTCAAACTACAATTTTCAATGGACAAAATATAATTATGGGGTTATGGGTTAATTTGAAAACTGGTACTATTAGCATGAGGTTCCTGTGGGGTTTTCTGGGGTGGTTTATTTGTTTCGATAGCTCTCTCCCCTTTACTTGAAGCAAAGTTATATTCAATTTTATTTTGTCAGTTTACATGCAAGAATTCTTTTCTATCATTTACTTTGGATGAAGATGTCTAGGCACGACAGGTCTAATCTTGATAAATCGCCCCCTCCTATTCGGGTCAGGGGTCTAACTAATACCGAAGGAGTAACGAAACATCTCATCCCGAAAAAACCTCCTCAACGAAAAAGTTATTGTGTTGTGTGCAGTGCGCACATACTGGTGCGGTACGATACTTGCATGATGGATTCCTTGTAACGTCTAGAAGACAGCTCTCTATACTGAGACCTCCTTGAGTCAATTGACAAACTAAACTATTGATTAACTAGATAGCTTGGCTTCTTGAATACCGGCTGTGAGCTAATCTAAACCCTGAACACTAAGTGCATACTTGGGGAGAGGGTCTCCCGACTCCCGTAGAGTATATTTCCGAAGAAAAAAGTGGTCGTTGAAGTCAGATAGAACTCAAGATAGCCACTCAAGCCAGTCTAATGTTGATCGTGGGCCGTTGTTTGGTGTACTTAACTCCTTTAAAACATGAAGGTGGGGAAAAGAGAGGATCTAAAGGTGCATGTTCTCTTCCTTTTCTCTCCTTCCTCGTTTACTAAGGAATTCGCCCCTCTCGAGTCTCCTCCTGATAGTATAGTATCTGCGTTACTTGAGAGATGATAGAATATCTCAGATACACCACGTAGATTTATCTATGAATACCTAGGCACTTCGTAGTATCCATCATTCAGATATCGTTCCCTCTTGAGTCTTCAAAGTTCACATATCAACAAATGCATTCTATCCGAATCTGACCCACCCGCACAATGACAGAATCATTAATTTGATTCGTCGATCGGACCGCCTTTTTTCTAAAATGTAAAACGAACCCCTTCTTTTTACCACTGTAACGCTGCAGCCACTCACTCAAATTGGATCCAATCCGAACCCACCTGTTGCTGCAAATCGCTCGTCAAAAAAAACCCAAGTACAACAACTCGCTGAGCACAGTTAATTATTCACTTCATTCACCGCCTTCTTCTTTGCTCACTGCCAGATAATTCAAAACTGTCCCATCCACCTTTCAATTATATACTCTCTCAAACCCACATTCGTTTTGACTCGAATCCGGACTGGTTGTACTCTCCTATAACATCATACGAGAAGTAAGATATTCTATGATACATTCACTCATTTGATATTTCGGGTTTCAAAGGACAATTGAGAGAGAAATATATGTATTCCTCACTCAATTGAACCTCAACAATTGTTTAACCACCAATTCAAAATTTACCTTTTCTCTCTCTCTACTTATTTCAAGTCGCCATGAACTCTACTTCTCCAATCGACACGATTGAAGATGGCACAAACGAAGCTGCGTCAGAGTGGGCACACCAAAATGGGGACTCTGTTATTCCTATAGAGAAGAAACTCGACAATTCAACAGGATATCCAGCTCGCCCGATGATGGGTAAAAGAAAGGCCAAAAGGAAAGATGATAGTCCTCTGGATATCATTTGCAGACATGTTGTGGACCATCAAACTGGTAACTTTCCTTTACTCTATTTGTTTTCTAGGATCTTGCGTTAATATTGAGCCTTAGGACTATCTGTCAATCTTTTGATGCTCCTTTCCTTGACGCACATGTGCTTTCCAAGAGCCCGCAGACATACTCGCAAATTCTTCGAACTTTCCTACTACAATCCGGAATCTGGCGAGTATTGCGCCGGTTGGAATGATGCTTGGCTAGTGTTCTATTGGATTGTTATCTTTACAGGACTTCGCGCTGCTTTCATGGATTATGTACTGAGACCATTGGCAAGAAAGGGTGGGGTGAAGACCGCAAGGGATGAGACGAGATTTGCTGAGCAGGCTTGGCTTATGATCTATTATTCTGTGTTCTGGACATTGGGAATGGTTAGCTAGAGCCCAAAACTCTTTTTGAAAACCTCTTCGCTAATACCCGAATAGTATATATACGTCAACTCAGACTACTGGTGGAATTTGAGCGAGCTATGGACTAATTGGCCTAATCGAGAGGTTGGTGGACTTCGAAAGTGGTACATCCTCGTCCAATATGCCTTCTGGCTTCAGCAGATTATTGTCATTAATATCGAGGCACGTCGAAAGGATCATTGGCAAATGTTTACTCACCACATCGTTACAACTGCCTTGATTTTCACAAGTTATGGTTATCATCAAACTAAAGTTGCAAATGTAATTCTTTGCTTGATGGACGTAGTGGATCTTTTCTTTCCAGTAAGCACCCCTCCTTCACCTCCCTTACCTAACGAGAGCTAACAGTAGTCTTCCATAGGCTGCAAAATGTCTCAAATACCTCGGATACGATAAATTATGTGATTTTATGTTCGGACTTTTCATGCTCTCTTGGGTAACGGCCCGTCATGCTTTCTATCTTATCATCTGCTATTCGGTTTGGGCGGATATCCCAAGGGTGATCAATTATGGCTGTTACCAGGGTAAAAATGGTTCTATCTCAGGTCCTTTCCCGCCTCCTGATCGCTTTGGACACCTCTTCAAGCCATTTCAAGATCCAGTCGGAGTTGTTTGTTGGAATAACAACATTAAATGGGGCTTTCTTAGCGCCTTGCTTTTCCTTCAAGGTATCACACTGATGTGGTTCTGGATGATTGTTCAAGTTGCTATCAAAGTCATCAGAGGTGGCCAAGCAGACGATACGCGAAGTGACAACGAAGATGAAGAAGAGGAAGATATTGATTTGGATGAGGAACCCTTTCCCGAGGAAGTTCCGCTGTTGGAAAAAGAGCCATATGAGGAAGAAGTCGGCGTTGAAGAATTGAATCTGGAGAAAAGAACGTCGAAAAATAGTCGTTATAAGAAGACTACGAGTAGTGCCAGTGGCGTAAGCATTCCCGGTCACAGTGATAGAAAGGAATTGCTGGGCAGGATTGGTTGTGATAAAGGCGTTTAGAAAATATGCTAGGGTTCCGATACATGATTTTTCCTGCTCCTGATGTATGGGTAACAGGAGCGTGATAAATCGGGGAGTGAGGAAGACTCCTCGCGAGAATTAGCGAGGAATGTCATTTTTTCTTGCTTCTTGTTGGTGGTATATGGCATGGGATTTCTTATTTTTACAAAGATATCGGGAGATACCGGCTGGTTTTTGGAGAGTTATGATGATAAAACATACCCGTTTCCTATTTTATGAAAAGTTGAACGAAGGAAAGGAAAGATTCCAATCGAATTTCCATTTCAAGGAATTGTATATCATTCGAAGACTTCATGGGGATGATCTCGTTTTGGTAGTGGCGAAGGGAGGGACAATTGTATCTATGTGTTTATGTATGTGGATTAGATGTGAATGAAAAGGTTATGCCCAGTTTTAGACAGAACCTTGGTGTATCAAAACACCTATGGTTAGATGTGACATTGAGGGCAATATTCCTGATGTCTGATGGGAAAAGAAGTAGATGTATCAGTGTGAATAATACAAATTAGCTGTGCGAAGAACACGAATATTGACTTAGTTGAAGTGAGATTAGATAAAGTGTACAAAGGCATGAGGCTTAAGACAGAGAGGGGGAACTGAGGAGCTGCATATATCTATGCAGGGGAAGATGGGATTCGACTATTATTCTTAAGTCATTGCTCTGCCCCCTCTTAAGCTCTTAACGAAACCAGATTGACGACTTCTTCTTTTTGACTTCGGTGGCGCGGTTGGGCTGGCTCATCACAATCGATCTAGAATCTCCCCAAACATCCAATGGTAAGCGATACTTTCATAACCACTTGCAAGATTCAGGAAACGGTATCAAGTATTTTTATTTATCCTTAGCAATGCTTTCATACCACCTACCCATGATAAATATCAAACCAAACTCTCTTTACTACCACCAACCCAATCAAAAATCGACGTATTCGGACTTTTAAACAGATAGGTAATCTTCAAATAGATCCCGGATGACCGGTACTTTGAGCGGGGCCGTGGCTGCAGAAAGTAAAAAAGCATGGCGAACATGGTCTTTTCTTAGTGTAGTGTGTATACCGAGTCCGAGATTTACGAAGAGTGGACGTGTACTTGTATGAAGTATTATTCAAAGGGCTCGGGAGCGAAATGTTCCATGCGTGTGGAGAAGGGTTGATTGAAGGAGCTTGGGAGGAGTAACTGTCTGGGTTATGACAGGACAATGTCAGGGCAAGCTTGTAAGGCAGGTCCCACCGCATTGGTGTGTTTGTGTATAAGTTTGAACAATGATACATCATACATATACTTCTAGCATTTTCCTTTAACAATCATTCAACTTTTTTCTTTCCAAAATTCTTGTTTCTACTGTGTAGAAATACTTCTGGTGAACTCTTAATTCGTTTTTGGGACCGGAGTGGATTTTCGATAACGGGTAACTTCATCATCATTGGGTACATCTGGCAGCGACGTTAGGACAGCTTGAGTTGAGACATTGAGGGATAATTCAGCATAAGTTCGGAATGGCAGCGCCGGTAGATCCAGCGACGAGAAGGAAGGTGTTGAAAGTGGTGTTCTTTTCGCTGTTATTAGATTTGGTGCGTCTACACAATTGGCAGATTCAATCGCGAAAGATGGCAAATAGCTAACACATCCGTTTTAGATCTCGTATGATATACTTTCCACATGAAACGGCTAGACATGAGGATAGCAAACTAACGCGCTACTTGGGCAGATTCACATTCATATTACCTCTATTTCCAAAGTTGCTGGAATTCTATAGAAAGTACGTTTATATAGTCTCAACTATCCCGATAGATATCTAATATGGAAATAGTCTTGAGGCGCCAACTGCCTTTTCCTCCTCATCCAAGTCTCCTACACTTCTCGCACACATCCTCACATATCTCAATACATACAAAGCATCATTCGCGAAACCAATCGACTCTCGATATGATATTGTGTTGCTAGGTGGAGCCCTTGGGAGTTTATTCTCGTGCGCAAACATAACCTCACTGCCCATTGCGACGCAGCTTTGCTAATACTCTTCATCGCAGCCTTCTCCAAGCTCTCGCGTCCCCCATAATCGGTACTCTCTCAGATAAATATGGTCGTCGCACAGCGCTCCTCGCCAGCATGACTGGCAACATCCTCAGTGTCCTCCTCTGGGTATGCGCCACCGATTTCCGTACCTTTCTCCTCTCGCGCGTCGTAGGTGGACTTTCAGAAGGCAATGTTCAACTCGCAATTGCAATTGCCACAGACATATCAGATGAGAAGCAACGTGGTGCTACCATGGCATTGGTGGGAATATGTTTTAGCATAAGCTTTACTTTTGGACCTGCATTAGGTGCTTGGCTCAGTACAATTAGTACTGTACAGGCAAATCCTTTTGCTACTGCGGCTGGATTCTCTCTGTTTTTGATTGTGACAGAAACCATTTATTTGTATATGTGTTTGCCAGAGACATTACCTAGTAAGGTTGCGCAAGCTAAGTTGAATGGGGAGCCGGCTGCTACAAATGGGGTTACCAAGGCAGCTGGTTCTTCGACTGAGAAGACGCAAGCTAAAATGGTATCCTCGAGTACTGATGGGGTAAAGAAGCAGGGAAGAACGAACTCCCACTTCCTACTCAACCTTACTCATCTTTCATTCATTCTGTTCTTCTCCGGCATGGAATTCTCCCTCCCTTTTATGACATATGATCTTTTTGGCTATACGTCCGCACTCAATGGTCGTCTTTTAGGGTATATGGGGCTTGTAGCATCTCTTCTTCAAGGAGGAGTAACTCGACGTCTTCCGCCTCTTCTCTCCGTTCGTATAGGCGTAGTCTCGTGTCTGGGTGCGCTATTCCTCCTCGCCCGCATCAATACCGTTACAGGTCTCTATCTAGCCACTACTCTCTTGGCTGTCACAACTGCAACAGTTGTCACGGGTCTCAATGCACTTAGTTCATTCGAAGCAGGCGAGGATGAAAGGGGTGGAAAATTGGGAAACCTAAGAAGTTGGGGACAACTTGGAAGGGGTTTAGGACCATTGTTATTCACGAGTGTTTATTGGTGGGCAGGAAGAGAAGTGGCATATAGTATTGGGGGTGTAGGGCTTATGGGGGTGGCACTATTGGTTACTTTTGGGTTGGAGACTCCGGGAGGAGAGAAAGGGAAGAAGATTGGGGATGTTAAAGGGGAAGTGGGGGAGTTGTAGATTGGGGCATAGTCTCGATGTTTGACACTGTGTTTTTGTAAGAGTTTTGATTATACGTTTGATGAGCTTTTGGCTGAGATTCGTTTCGGCAGATTCGTCTTTTTCGGCTGGAAGGTCATATATTCAGTGCCGGGCTGCTACGAATCGTCGAATATATCCAGGTTTGGATAATTGAAGGGGAAAGAGACGGAGATGTAAATTAGAGATATCCTTTGGTGCATTGTATCTGTATTGAACTGTTTGTAAACTTCAAAGAGAATGAAAGATTGGAAATGTTTCGCAATGGATGTGTCAATAACCTATTAAATAAACAAGTAAGAAAAGACAGAAGCAAAGAACGGTGAGAGGTATTGGGCGAAGATATTTCTTTTCTTGGTAAATCAGCTACGCATATATATGTCATATCATATGACAAGATCCAGAAAAAAGTTACTGAACCACTCAACCACTTTCTCCAGTGCAGAAGCACAAGTTTCTTATTCATGCGGAACCCAGCTATATGGGCTACAGCTACCTGAGTAGATAGGGACGAACTATCATGAATGAAAATCTCACACATGCTAGGTACCTACCCAGCGAGAAAGTTCGCGAAGCCAACAACTTCGGAATCTTAAGGGGAGGGAAACCCCTCGATGAGCTTTACGTTTGTTTATCAACCAGAACGAATCCAGTTTTATTCGATAAGAATCCAATCATGGTGAGCTTCGAACATTTTCACCCTGAATTTATCAGGCAAGTTCAGACTGACATCATTATTTTGCTCGCTAGTGAGTAGGTAAGATTATATATATTATGCATGTCATATGTATATATGTATGTGCTCGAGTCGATATGTCATATGTACCTCACTCGCCCTAGAATTAAAAATCAAGAAGCCTCCTCTTCCTCCATCTACACCAAATTCCAATCCAATTCAAACGCCCGTTCCTATAAATGAATGCGGATCATTCTAATCTTATCTCTTCTTACTTCTTCTTCTTCTTATATACAAATACATCAGGATTCGAGATCATTCAATCCGTCATGCCGATGAATGGATTAGTCTTAAAACCATACTCTCCCTTATACATTATTTCCAACAACCATATATCCATTATCCAATCTCTTCTCTCGTTAATCCATACTAAACACCCTCACTCCCCTTCTTCTCCGGTTTCCTTCTCAATACTCCCCCAAACCCTCTCATACTTCCCCCACTATCTTTCCCCGTATCATTCGCACTCGCGTTACTATCTCCCCTACTCCTCGCTCCATCACTAATATACACATCTTCTTTACTCCTACTCCCCTCTCCTAACCCTGACACAACACCCCTACAGCACGTCCTACGCCTAGACTAATACCACTTCCACCTATACTTCCTGGCCTACTTTTATTTCCTTTTGTGTCGAAAGAAATGTTGCTGCCGATAGAAACACTGCGTAAAGGTTTCCTGAAGCGAGCGGGAGTGGATTGGGAATGCATTTGTGGGGAGGGAGTTGTGGTAGGGATACGGGAGCTTGGTTTGGAAGAGTGTGAATGAGATGGGGGCGTGGAAGGTATTCCCTCTCCGCCTTCAGGATGTGGCTGAGGTTTGGGTTTCAGGGCATGATGCGAACTGTCGAATTGGGGAAAGGGAGTATTAGATGTATTAGCGCCAACAGGCGAAGTTTCGGTCGAGTCGTCATCGTGTACATATGAGTTCCTGGAATGGAGCTTAGCGCGTTTTCGTGCACTATTATGGTTGTATGTGCTTTCAGGTGTGTTGAGATCGGCTGATGATTCGTCCCCAGGCTGTATCATGGTAATTGGATCTGCATCGACATAGGTTCCACTTCCCAAGGATTGACTCCCACTGTCTTCTTCACTGAGATAAGTCAATGATCTGGCGTTCATGGTCCCAATGCGTATTGAGTTGGTACGGGCGCGATTATAATGTTCATACTCCTCTTTCGAATGTTCTGCGTTGTAGAAGGACTCCAAGGCGTCGAAAACATGCGGGAAGACTAGAGTATTGACTTCTCGGGCCCATAAGAAATCGAGATGCTCATAGTGGGAGATTTCAATGTGAGTCGTCTGAGGCGGGAGTTCTTTTCGCATTACGTTTATGTCGACTAGTGAGTCGCTGCCGCCATACAGCAATACAATTGGTGTTTTGATGTTGCGAGTTGGAAATTTGGCGACTTTGGTGTATTTGTTAATGCCACCTAAAACAGGTTGGGGCTCGTCGTCGTACATTTGGAATGACTTCGTGCGGATGATCTGGAACCAATGAACAACTGCTTTGGTACTGGTGAAAGAATACAGGTGAGGGTAAGCTGCGAGTTTTTGTGATGTGGACATATTTTTGGCGTGCCAGCCGAAAAGAAATCTCAGCCCCATATCAATGAGACGCACGAAAATGGGAGGGTAGAGTATGGATTGCCACATAGTAGCCGATGAGAGAATGGAGCGACGACCGAAAAGAAGGAATAGAACCTGAGGTGATGCTTTGACAAGTGCATCCACTATACCATTTGAAAGACCGGCTGGAGACATAGCAGGCGCAAGCGCAATGAATACATTGATCTGATCATTGAGCTTCGGGTGGACAGCCAAAGTCGCAAAAGCCTGAGCTGTTCCTTGAGAGAATCCAATATACGATAACGACGGCGCAGAGGTTGTGTCAAGAATGTATTGGATAGTGTCAGGGATGTCATAAAAGGCAAATTCATCCATTGAAAAGTCCCAGAAAGCTGTATCTGTCGGTGAATGGTGGATGGACTTCTTGGAGTATTTGTTTCCACGATTGTTTCCAAGCTACAAATGTTTAGTCTCTCATGTGTGCATAGATTGACATGGGTCCAACTTACCCAAACATCATAACCTCTTTCCACCAGGGTAAAAGCTAAGCATCTCTCCTTATCAGTCAAACAAACCCAGACCTCGCTATTCATGAGCAAGCCATGGTGTAAATATACAACAGGCTTTTTAATGCTACCAGGTCCACTGTTGACCTTTGTGTTTTCTTCTCCTTTCTTCCAACCGAGTCGATGAGCGCATAGCAGATATCCATCTTTGGTTTGTACAACATGCTCTTCGGCATAATAACCAGCTAATTCGCAGAGATCTACAAAATCTGAAGCATTTCGAATGGAGGTTGATATATCTGAATCTGTCAGTCCTTCTCCTCGATCAGATTCTACTGAAAGACTGCTCCAACCTTGCTTTCGTGTCTCTGATTTCTTAGCTGCTGCAGATGTGAATCGATTGAAAAGGCGCCTCGAACCTCGATAACATAACTTTATAATCGTCGAAGCTGTGTCATTGTTAGAAGATCCTTCCAACGATGGCAAGCAGTGGGATGGAACATACGAAGTGCCAATGTCAGTATTCTAATTATTGCTTCTAATCCAACAAGAAAGAACGAGCTTATCAGTGCCAAATATTCGCTCCTGTATGATTGATCAGCGATTGCCACATATAACAATTAAGCAGAAAACTTACGGGCAGAGCCGTCCGATGAATGGAATGTACATTGTGTTGAGTACCTTCTATCGTATCGAGGACTTTATTTGCGCGGTGAGATAGTCTTATACCATCTGAGGAGGCGATCTTGACCGCAAAACTGATAACGAGCTTGATATATGCAGCTAATTACCCTAGAAGATCTAGAATATAAGGGTCTGCAAAGAAACGGTATTAATTGAGCTAGGTTATTGACGTGGACAGAGCTCTAAAAATGCAAAGATGTAAAAATGCATACACGTAGAGTCCAATCGTCAAGACCTTCATTGATGTCACATCCACTTTCACATGCTAAATCGCATGTCGCCTTCACTTCATTCACGCCTCGAGTGTTAAAATAAAAGTTGGTTGGTTGAGGATGATTGTTCAATTCAGACTGATCAAAGAAAATAATAGGGAGAGGTGGACAAATACAATGGCAATTATCTCGAATGATTGACTTCAACATCGGACGATGAATTCATAGTTGTCGTCCCTATTTGCTTTATTTACTTGCGCGTTGGAAAAATCTGGGGAGCGGTAGAGCGGGAGCGGGAGTTTGAAGGTTGGTCTAGGTCGGGTAATCCACGGGATTTGTAGCTTCCGCCCAAGAACTTTTGAAAGTGGCACTTTAATGGTTTGTTTGTACCCGAGAAATGTCATGACAATACCTACATTCTGCCAATTGAAGCTCTTTTAATAAAAGGTTTATACTCTTTCCTGTACACTGTTTATCAGACTGGAAGTATTTTGATCACAAATCTACAAAAAGACGACCAATTCAGTATGCCGAGTTCTTGTCAAGATATCCGTTCGCAACTTCCTTTCCTCTCTTCAATGCCCCGCTAAATTTTCGCAGGAGCTGCACTGGCACAATGTCTCCAAGAGTCAGACTGTGTCATGATTTATCGCAATAAGCCTTCCGATTGTCTGCGAGCTCCTCTCCTCGAAACTATGCCCACCAAGTGTCAACAATTGAAGACAGGCTACGGTGAATGCAAACGAGGCTTGGTCGATATGCGCAAACGATTCAGAGGCAATCAACCAATTTCTGTGAGCAAGGAGATTGAAGGAGGGGGAGAGAGAAATACCGGTGGACATATGCTCTATGCTGGAAAGCCAGCTTTTGAAAGCGGGGTCAAAGAGACAAGCGGAAACGAGCCCGAAGAGAAGGATTGGAGGCAGTTGGAGAACGAGAGGTATAGAAAGGAGTAAAGGAAACAACTGCCTACTGTCAAGAAGGGTCATTGGGGTATTATGCTTTATATCCGCTGAATTTGGGGTTTTCTATTGCATTGAAAGGCGTTTGGACAATGTATATCAGAAGCATTACGCGGTCAAGGTTGATTATCATAACGAAATTGTAAGGAAAATCCACTCAAGCCATAAACGTCACTCATAATTATACACCAGTCTCCGAGATAGGAACCTCATTGCGCCCAGCTCTTGGTCCATCATGCTGTTATTGGTTCTTCTTTCGTGGACTGAAGCGGGATCTATGGTTGGTAGGTTCTTTCAACCGGTAAATCGGATCCAAACTTCTATGGCTACACAGCCTTGCTTGCTTACTTTCGGTGTGACTCACGGATGACAGGTACTGAGAAACCCGAAAGAATATGCGTTCAACTTCGGATTATCGGCCGTGAAAAACCTGGCTTCATCAACACTAGTCACAACTTTTCGAGGGGGCCAACTGGCAACTGATCATATGCTGCATGAGTGCGAGCATGCTCTTTATTTGCATCTGTATTACAGCCGCCTTTGCCACGCTCGCCCAAACTCTGCAATCGTATATCACGCTGCAAGTTCGGCAAGAGCGGCCCAATGTCGGATGCTAAAACTGAACATTTGAAGCACGAGATACATATCGAAAGAAGTTTTTCGGCCATTGGACTTGCGGTAGAATTCTTAGTAGAAAATATCTGATTTGTATTACCCCTATCTCAGGAGCTTTCTGGTCTTGGTATCTGCCATTTTCCTGCTATCGGCCTATGATTAGCTCTAGTTAACCCATCCATCCTACACTCAACGCCATAAATCAACTTCGCAGAGGACATTCATGTTGCCGCTAAACATCCAACCCATAAATATACAGAATCCTAAATCACCTTGGTCACTTCCTCATTCAAGCCCAGCAAGGTTAAATTGATTCAAAGTTCCAGCTCCACCCACCCATCCTCCTACCAGCTCACTACTCGACAACTTTTCGCTTTGTGCCTGCTCGTATCGGCTCAGTAGATCTTGATACATATCACCAAGGTTATGTAACTCCGTACTGAGCATCTTCACCTGGTCTTCGAGTCGCTGTCGCTCGTTTGCTTGACGTTTCCGAAAATTTCTTTGAGACACGCGATTTTGTACAAGCCGACGCTATATTTTGTCAGGTAACATGAGCCTAAAAATTAGGACAGTGTTCTTACCATCTTTTGTGCGGGTGTCTTTTCTGTTACTGAATCTGTTGAGTCATGCGATGTCTCTCGTGTGCGACTACCTTGAGATTTGGGTTTCCGTTCACGAGAAGCTCGATTTTGGCCTCGTTTCTATATTTCGTTTGTCAGTCTAGGGAACAAGAAGTCTCTTCAACCTAAGGCATTATTATAAAAACTTACCAATTCGCTTGACAACTCATTGATCATATCGTTCCTTTCCGATCCATAATTTCTACTATCCGTCGAAATGCTTTGTTCCAATTCTGGCACCATAGACACATCAATGGTATCGAGGTATGGGCTCGGATACGGCGGTATAGTATATATACTCTCCATTTGTGGGATTGTACAGGTTGTCTGTTCGTTATGTTAACATCTTGCTGTGATGGGTCTAAAGAATGAACATACGTATGGAAAGGCAGATCCGAATGCTTCGGTATTCAAGTCATACGGTGCATCCTGATCAGATGTCAGAGAGGGAGGCGAAGGAGGCGAATACCAAGTTGGAGTGGAAATTGCCATTGAATATTAGTCGTATGATTAGCTTCTATACAAATTTCTGTGTGTAAGTTTGAAGTTTGTTAGGATGATTGTTATTGTGGTTAAAGTTTTTCTACGGTTTTAAAGTCTCGAAGGACTCGAAAGTATATATAATCAGTAATCAGAAATGACTCCAGTAGCTTACAAAAGCTTCAACCGCCGCATATTCCCGAATCTCTAGGCAGCGGCAGTAGAGTGTTGCGCAGCTTAATTGGTAGCCTTTCAATAGGCTATAGCAATCACACACACCATATACACCATGCAAAAATCCAGCTTACATATCCGATCGGCAACACAGAACACCGGTAGAACAATCAATGGAAAGTTCTTAATGTCCGCCTTTTCAAGGGTCGAAACAGGGCCTGACATCACCTTTTACTGCTATTTCAGACGGTGAGTGGAAAGCCACACAGGTGCAAATAAAAATTTCTTTGTGTAGCATTGTATCACTCATCTGCGGAAAACCAAACTACTTCGGGATATAGTGGACGCCTTTCAACATACATGCATAAGATGACGAGGCTTACCGTATTCGGTGCGTGCACTTTTAACCTGGGGATCCACGTGTATGGACCGTCTTTTGCTTAATGCATTTAAGCTTGATATTCTTCCGCTCTATATCTGCAGAGTCAGCGAGAAGATAAGGATTTGATTGGATACCGAATCGAGTTTCTCCATCGAGCGTCTTGCGCAGGTGGAAAAGGTGCATGCATTCGGCCTTTCCGCGTCCCTCAAGGTGGATTACAAAGACGGATTTACGAGGGCCGGGTTTAGAGCTTTATATCCAGAGGATCTGCATACTTTTCTGCCGGTTAAGTGAACTGGATGGAAGCGTTCCTTCTAATCATTCCGTGGTGGAAGCAGGTCCTAGGTCTTTTGTAATCATAATGTGTCGTGCGATTGAGAAGGGTCTGGGAGGGACTATATATACATTGTTGCAAATGACAAATCAAAAAGATACTCCTGGCCATTCCACGCTACTGCTTGAATATATCTTCTCGTGTATATCGGCTTTACATAGAGTCATATTAGATGAATTTGGACTAGCTTCCATCTCCCCGTCAAACGTCCCTAAATAAATAGCCAGTGTGCTTTTCATCATCTTCCAAGTCTCAGCTCCAAAATCTCGTAGCTCTATCATCGCATTAGCTGCATACCACGCTCTACGACGTCGTTCAACTGGAAAGCGTTATCCACGCCGAATCACTCGAGCTAACGTTTCAATAGCTCGTCTCCAGTCGGTACTCGTGTCTATTAATGCGTATTTACAGGCGCGAAGAGATTTTTCTTGCTGTTGTGGAACGCTGCGGAATTTGCGCTATGCCGTTTGGATGTATCAGGTAGGCCAGACGGAAACACTTATGAATAATGGTGCGAAGAGGGTCTAGGGGTCGTGAACTTGAGTCATCAGGCGAAAGCCAGTTCATTCCTATGAAAGATGGGCGGATGCTGGAGCCTCTTTATTTCCAACACCTGACAGATAACGACCGACAGCTTGCACTGCTTTGCGCTTCAAAGTCTTAGGCCTCAAAACATATGACTCTCATTCGAGACACTCTAGCTTTCTTGGCCCCTTGCAACTTTTTCTCGCGCCAAACTCGCGCATAACATGACTACGAGCTTCGGTTCTGGGGCCTCGATCATTACCCACTTGGATGAATGTGAAGTTTCCTAATCTGCTAGAGCTTGAGATATTTTCACTTGCATCGAGATTTTTCAATGCTAGTGAGAGGTGAGGATTTAGCTTCCGGTGGTGATTAGCATTGTGTCTCGAGTATATGAATCAGTAAATCCAGCATACTTTCAAAACTTGGCATTGAGAATTTTCCATTGGTCGTTCCTTTAGACGTGTCGTTGGGAAGTAGCTCCGGTGCTAACGTGTCTGAACGATCAGCATTGTGCCCGTCGGTTTTGAGGCTTTGCGCTCTTCAATGATGATATCAGCAGACCTGCTAGAAATCAGAACTTGCATGAATTCTTGATGTTCTAACCGGAATGAGAATTGTTTGCAACTTGTTACACGTGATGAGCATGATACATGGATGAGAGTTGAGGCGATGCTGTTTTTCGTTTTCTGGCTTTTTGAGTGGCATATTTCATGAGTACTGGTTTTGTGTAGATTGGAGGCTCGAATCTTCAAGATAATTTTGCATCCTTGATCTTTTTGTAGACACAGTACTTTTCTACAAGTTTCCGAGTCCTTCATACCTTTCATCTGGCTCATCCTCCTCAACATTTTTGGGGTTGCAAACAAACACAGACAATAAAGCACTTCCCTACAAGCCACTTTCAATTTTTACATTCCTATATCTTCACAAGTTTCCCAACCCTCTATCTTGGTAATTTGGAAAGAAATTCACCATTTCATCAGTGATTCCCACACCAAAGAATAGGGCGTCAAATGTCTTTGGAGCGAGGAATAAGCTGTCGTTACACTGTAAAAACCCAATAGTATTAGATATATCAGCCGGCTTTGACTACAGAGCTCAGTATCCAACATGAGCTTCGGCCCTGGCTTTGTTAGTATATGTAAAACGTGGCTCAATTACGTGTATTCGAATTTGCACTAGTGTAAAATCTCCGCTATTTATCTTCCATATCTAGGAACTTTGCAATTCATTCAAGACCCATTTCACTCCGTCTACAACCACATTCGGCTGAGTTACCAGAATAAAGTGACCACTCTTGTCAGCAAACACAAGTTTTCCCCTCATAGAAAGTTTCAAATGTTCCTTCATAAGCCCCTCACTCTTCTCATCAGCAGTTTTGATCAGGCTCCTAACATAAATCCTCTGCTCCTCAGTTCCATTACCTCTCTCAACACCTGCCTTATACAATCCACCCCAATCCCTACTCCTCAGACCCCCAATCACATAAACTGGTTTATCTCCAAGCAGCGGCTGCTTTCTCCGCAGCTCTTTCTTTAGCAAAGTCTCAAAACTCGGGACGTATTCATCATCCTCTTTCTTTGCCTGTAGCAAGTATTTCTCTGTTCCTCCCTCGCCGTCGAATGCATCCCATTCTTCCGAGGTGAATTTATGCTCGGATCTGAGACCAATACCAGAAAAGAAATCAACGCCTTCCGAAATCGCCTGGAGATTTGGATCATTAGGATTCAGCACTTGTAGCGCGGTCTCGTGATTCGCATCGACAAATACTACACCGGCGATGTGAGGGCCATTTCCCGTAAGGGCGATGAATTCGTTTATGAGTACACCGGCCCAAGAATGTCCAACAAGAATCAGAGGGTTGGAGATAGAAGCTTCCACAATCAGATAAGATAGTTCTAAAGCAATATTCTCCGCTGTGGGCGCGAGAGGTGAGAGCTCAGAATTGCCATAGCCGGAACGGTCGTAATTGTAGCTGCGTAACGAGGGAGGAAGTAGCCGTGTCACAGCCGCCCAAATGCGACTGGTACTCTCTACGCCTGCTATGAATAGCACAACAGGTTCTTTGGAGCTGCTGGGCTCCGGGCCGTGGGTGTAGAGGGCGAGTGAGTGAGTGCCGATGTTGATAAGAGTGGGGGTTGAGGAAGACATTATGAGGCTATGAGGCTACGATGTTTTCAGGCTTCTCAAGTTCAAATGGGGTGTGATATATGATGATACTCTTCAAACATCCAAGCTACTGCATCCATACATATACTTCATCCCTAATGATGCTTTGTCAGGTCTCTGAGTCAGGCCGTCTTCCCTGCGCGTAAGCGAAGCTCGGATATAATCATGATTAACGACCGCTAAGCTTTCCATACATCTGATTGAAGATTTTCTACAAAGATCTCCAGGAGAATAGAAGTCTTTACGCAAAAGTACCTTGAGAGCACGTCACAAGTATTAAATGTAATGGCTGAAGGGCGTGAACCTATGGTCATGTAAGCGCTAGCAGATGGCCGATTCAAATATCTCACGCCTAACTATATTTGATCCTTTGAGCCGAGATCCGAGAGTGCTAATAGAAAAGCTTTTTCTTATCTATCTCGAGTCTGTTAATAATGTTATTTTGGGGGCAGTGGCTCGAGAGCAATAGGCTTATCGGCTGTTTAAAGAGGAAATCCTAGCTTTCCTGCCACCCATCCAGTTTAGACTCGGAACTGTTGGCCACTTCGGGTAAACTGCAGCATACCCCTGAACCTGATATCGGTACCGGTAACTCGGAACGACATCCAACAAAACCGACCTACATCTCGACTGCCAAGCCCGTGTCATTCTCATTCCTGCTTGCTTTATCGGCATTGCATGAGTGTGCATCGTGAAAATATTTCTTAGTCATGAACGCTTCTAGCGTTTGTGTGGCAGATGCTGATGCTCTTTTTGGCCCTCAGGTCGATCCATGTCGCAGACAATTCGACTTCACGTTACTTTTCGAGCAGAGTGTTTTCACCGTCGGTCCATCTGCAATATTTATCGTACTCCTTTCTTTAAGAATACCGAAACTATATCGAGAGAAAAGAAAAACATTGCCGAATTCACTTTGGGGTTCTAAATTGGTGAATTTACCACATCTATCATTATCATACGCGTGACGCTAACAACGACAGATTGTAATATCAGTGATTTTGTGTCTTCAAATTGCTCTTTTAGCATCATGGATAGTTTCTCGGGGTCAACAGACACCCGTATCTGTTCCAGCAACCGTCCTGTCAGTAATTGTCACGATTGGACTCGCAGCATTATCGAACCTGGAAAACAATCGAACTATACGCCCTTCATTAGTAATTTGCACCTATCTTCTTCTTTCCACACTGTTAGATTTAGCTCAGGCGAGAACACTTTGGTTGCAACATGGAAACACAGCATTGTCGGCATTATTCACATGTAGTGTGCTAGCCAAAGCAGTTCTACTATGTCTTGAAGCGTTCGAGAAAAGATATTTTCTAAAAGATCCTTACAATAGATACCCACCCGAAGCTTTGGCAGGAGTTATAAATACAAGTCTCTTCTGGTGGCTCAATACACTCATCCAGAATGGTCACAGAAACTTGCTCAGTCTCGGTGATCTCTTTGACACCGATAAAGCCTTATCATCTTCTTCTCTAGAGACAAGGATGCAAACTGCATGGCGAAATCAGTCGCCCAATGGAAAATATTCCCTCCTCTTCGCTATTCTCACAAGTTTTAAAGTTCCTCTACTCACCCTTATAATTCCGCGTCTTTGCCTAATTGGATTCAAATTCTCTCAGCCATTGCTCATAAATCGAGCTATCTCGCTGATTGACAATCCCGAGACGCCAGGAAACCAAAATATCGGATATGCATTGATTGGCGCAACCGCTCTTATATACCTTGGACTGGCTATTACCACTGCCCAATATCAACACCAGATATTCCGAGTCATCACCATGATTAGAGGCGGATTAGTTTGCATTATTTACAATGTAACGCTGAGCCTTGATGCAAACTCCACAGGCGATTCCGCAGCAGTCACACTGATGAGTACAGATATAGAACGCATTGGAACTGGATTTAGTAGTGTTGATAGTTTATGGGCTGGTCCGATCGAAGCTGGAATCGCGGTATATTTATTGCAGCGGGAAATGGGTCTAGCTTGTATCGCACCTGTCATCATTTCACTCGGTGAGTCAAATTGTACATTTCGCAATATTCTCCACTAATCCCTATAGCATGCACAATTGGAGCATTCTCCATTATGAAATGGGCAAAACACACTCAAAAGGAATGGGTCGAAGCGGTTCAAAAACGCGTTGCAATCACATCATCAGCACTTAAATCCGTAAGGGGAATCAAGATGCAAGGACTCACAACACGATTATCCGAAGACTTGCAGGAACTTCGTGTCCAAGAACTTGAGTGTGCAAAACCGTTTCGCAGAAATATCATTGCCACGGCAGTGACATCTAATATCACTACCCTGTGCGGACCAGCTATAACGTTTATTGTTTATATTCTTATTCAAAGAACCAAGGATTCGGCAACGTTGAATATTGGACAGGCTTTCACGAGTTTGTCTTTGATTTCGTTATTGAGTACACCGGTTTCGGAATTAGTTCAGACGATTCCTACGTAAGTCTATTTCGTGGAATTTCAGAGACTATGAATGACTAACTCGAGAGAAAGACTTGCAGCCGCAATGGGTTGTATGGAAAGAATCCAGACTTATATCAGGACAAAAGACCGTAACGATCCCGGATTTTCTAGTCCAGATTCTGAACGCATCTCGACATCTGAGGCATCTGGAGATAGTGTCAATCTCAATCTCACTTCCCATGAGGTTGAGTTGCAAGCAATTCGTTCAATCATGCCGGCCTATTCATCCCATGCTCGGGAAAAGAATATCATCACAATCAAAGACGCGTCTTTCACATTCTCACCTGAAAGCACACCAGTTCTCGAAGATATCAATCTTGAGATCTCCCGCGGGACTTTAACAATGATTATCGGTGCAATAGGAAGCGGCAAATCATGTCTTCTGAAAGCAATGCTTGGAGAGTTACCGAGTAGTAAAGGATTTGTATTCACGAATACTTCAAGTATTGCGTTTTGTTCTCAGACACCATGGTTACCCAATAGCAAGCTACGAGAACTCGTGCTTGCGGGATCGAGCTATGATGAAGTTTGGTATAATGCCGTGCTTAAGGCTTGTGTGCTTCATCATGACATTGCTACGTTTCCGGATGGCGAGGAAACAATCATTGGTAGTGATGGGGCTACTCTGAGCGGTGGACAGAAGCAGAGATTGGTGAGTCGAATTACTGTTTAGTTTGAAACATCGACCTCCTTTCCTGGATTGAGGCTAACTCTGATCAGGCATTGGCACGCGCATTATATTGCAGAAAGGACTTACTTTTGATCGACAACGTTTTCAGCGGACTAGATTACAAGACAAATAAAGCTGTATTCCGCAATGTTTTTGGTCAAGAAGGACTATGCAAGGTGCATAATATAACTGTGGTTCTTGCCACACATGCAGGTAAGCGCGGATTTAAGTAAAACAACAAGTGAAATAAATTGAGCTGACGAGATTTAGTTGAACATCTGCAATCTGCCGACAATATTATTGTTCTCTCCAACAATGGCACCATTCTAGAACAGGGAAACTTTCGCAAACTTCGAGAAAATGATGATAGCTATGTCAAAGACTTGATTTTCCATGAAAGTCTAGACGAGAAATCAGCTGAGGTCTCAGTCACAGAAACCGTGAGTAAACCACAGAGCAAACCAAAACCAGCTGAACTCAACGACTTCAATCGTCAAGATGGCGATGCTAGTGTATACTTCTACTTTGCGAAATCTGTAGGCTGGATCTATTTCTGTTTTTTCATTGGAACAGTACTTTTGTATACCTTCTCTAGCGAATTCCAAGCCGTTCTCCTTGAACTATGGTCCAAAGCGGAGACTAATCATCCAGGTATTTATACTGATATGTACATGGGTCTGTACGCAATGCTATCCATAGTTGCCTTGTGTGGAATTGGGGGATTGCTATGCGTCACATTGTTATTTGCAGGCCCATATGCTTCTATTAATTTGCATCGCACGCTCTTGCATACTGTCATGACTGCGCCATATTCCTGGTTCACGGCAACTGATAGCGGAGTAACGCTAAACAGGTAGGTAACTTAACGCTCTAACACTGGTCTATATCAATTAACACTCTATAGATTCAGTCAAGATATGAGTTTAATCGACATGGAGCTGTTGATAGGAATCGTCGACACATTCGCAGGTACATTCATGGCAATTGCTCAAGCAATACTTATTGCCACCGGAGCCAAATACGTCGGAGTTACTCTTCCATTCATAATCGGAATTCTTTATATTCTCCAGAGAGTATATTTGAAAACATCCAGACAACTTCGATTGTTAGATCTAGAATCCAAATCACCGCTCTACTCACACTTTACGGAAACGCTCAGCGGACTCACGACGATCCGCGCTTTTGGATGGCAAACCCAATCAGCCGAGAAGAATCGAAAACTTCTAGATATCTCACAGAAACCCTACTACTTACTCTACTGCATACAGAGATGGCTCAATCTTGTTTTGGATCTCATCATTGCTGGTATTGCTATTATTCTCATCACCTTTGCAACACAAATGCGTGGGACTACTAGTGCAGGTACACTTGGTATCGCTTTAGTGAATATTCTACAGTTCAACTCGACATTGAGTTTTCTGATTAGAAAATGGACTCAGCTAGAAACTTCTATTGGTGCTGTGGCTAGAGTGAAGAGCTTTGAAGCGAATACTTTATCGGAAAATGGTCCTTTGGAAGTTAAGCTACCGCCATCTGAATGGCCTGCTAAGGCTCAAGTCGAGTTCAGAGATGTGACTGCTGCTTATGGGTAAGAGCCTAATCAGGAAATCTATATAGAATCTACTAACAGTATTACCAGTAACGATGAACCTGCTGTGCAGGGTGTCTCATTTTGTATCGAAGGCGGTACGAAACTGGGTATAGTTGGAAGGACTGGATCGTGAGTTTACCCCTTCCCATTCTCAAAGTTTGAAGACCTGATATACCTCTCTATAGTGGGAAATCATCTCTCACATTAGCACTCTTCCGGATGCTCGAGCTAAAAACAGGAGATATCCTCATTGACAGTATCTCCATTTCTACTCTCCGTCGTGAATCAGTACGCTTTTCCTTCATCACCATTCCCCAAGAACCTTACTTTCTATCTGGCACTGTCGGCTTCAATGCAGACCCGTTTCATTCTCTAGACAACCAAGCAATCCAGACTGCGCTTGTTCGTGTTGGACTATGGGACATAATATGCGATAACGGAGGGTTAGAAGCCCCTATGAACGCAACGCCTCTCAGTCAAGGTCAACAGCAACTTTTCTGCATCGCAAGAGCATTAATTAGGAAAATGGCGTTGGGAAATAAGGATCATGGGATTCTGGTGCTTGACGAGGTGACGAGTAATGTTGATTCTGCTAGTGAAGAGATCATGTTGAGGATTCTGGATGAGGACTTTAAGGGTTGGACAGTACTTTCTGTAGCTCATAGATTGGCAACGATTAGGAGCTACGATAGAGTTCTAGTTCTTGATAAGGGTAGTGTAGTGGAGGATGGAGCGCCGGAGAATTTGATCCGAAAAGAGGGAGGGCTATTCAAGGAACTATGGGAGAATGGATTTGGGAAAGATAATACTGTGTAGTGTGTTGAGTAGAGCTAGGTTTCTTTACTTGCCTTTGTTGGTTCTTTTACTTGTCATCAAAGGAAATTCTTAGATTGTCATTTAGCTTCATTCTATCATACCAGTCAACCTATCCATACAGTGGCATATACTCGTACTCATGCCGAAAGTCTTCACCACACCCAATCCAATTGGAAGTGAAAATTCTTAATATACATACCGGAATCTATCCATGACCCAACCGGCCCCCATTACATGTAGCACACTCAATTCCCCATTTGATACCCATCGCATCCTGTCAATGTCGTGTTATGGACTACCATCACATGCTGACTTCTTCTGACAATCACAGCTCTATCCAGATACACAGCGTCGCCGATCACTTTTTGAAGTAGAAGAGGACAACAAGAATATTGGTTCCTATGAGCGATATTTACAATCTCCGCAGTTACATGGAGCAAAGCCCGTCATGTGTGGAGATGAAATCGTCGTGTTAAAGCTCTCACAAAGGGAAATGTATTTTACACAACGCTTGTGGCCATAAACTTATTCGCAACGCTTTGTAGAAAAATGAAAAGTGATCAAGACGTTGGTATCGTGATGAAGAGAATATGGTTTACTCGAGGCTATCCACGCTTTTGACCGGCGCATCATCGGCTAAACCTACCTTTTTCTTCTTCATATTTTGTCCGAGAGCATCCGAGTCACAAATTCTTCTTTCTCTTTGTGAGGCTGAGTCAAGTTTTCTTTCTTCAAAGACACATCATGACGACGCGGCGTCTCCGGTGGTATAAATAAAATCTCATTGTCTTGTAATGCGAAATATATCTTCAATTTCTCTTTGTACACCGATTCAATCGCGGCATCAACAGGTTTCCCATTCTCAATTTCTAAGTTTTCATGCAGATCTCTTCTCAACTCTGTTAGTTGCAAGGTCATGATATTGGCAAAGGGATTCCCCTACACATCTTTCTTCCCTAGGCGCAAAAGAGAGATGGGATGGAGATGCCGCAGTGGAGTCCTGTCCATCCATACACCGTAGTGACCGTCTGTACCAAAAATCGCAATCAAAATCTCATTTCATGAACGTTAGGCCCCAGCAGAAATCCTGGTCATCCGGACACGGCTTTCCAGGGCATGTAGGGCCAATTTTCTTAACCCCCCAAAGATTCCCTTGAGTTCTAGAACGATTGGGATCATTGGTTCGTGCTAAGGTTGCGTGGATCCGGGCATGTAGTACCTAGGTAGATGAGATATAAAATGGGTAATATGAGAGAGCGAATTTAATTGAATGAGGTAAATAAAATGACGGACACGTAAAGGATCATTCAATGGTAGATGGAGTTGATGGGGTAGATGGAGATTTGTTTGCTGAGAGTTTCCACTACTGTACCGCTAGTACTGTCTCTCATGCTATGATACTTCTGGGTACCGATGCCAATATGTGCTCCGTATGCTACGCGGCTACGACAATTTCGATTTCGATTTGGATTCAGAATTTGATTCCGCGAAAGAAGTCGAGGACGGTGAAGAATGAAGAGTCAAAATTGATGGTTGGTAATCTAACGGTGAACACAAAATGATGCAGCGGATTACGACTCCGTACAAACGGATATTCTCACATGGTAACATTAGCAAGCATCTCCATAGAAAAAGAGCCACGACTACTCTCCAATCTTACTGATCCCCAATCTAATCCAGAAAACGGAACAAGGAAATCGGCCTTTTGCATGCAGTAATGCAACAATAATGCACACACGGCAGTGACGATCTGCGGAGCGCACTGTACCTAGCTACGTACTGCAATGAAGATCTGATAGCCATCGTAAAACAGTAATCTCTCATCCCTATGAATGGTGTATCAAAAACTCCGAGCTATCAGATCAATGCTTTTTTTCCCTTTGCTTCTTTTCCCCCATCTTCCCCTTTATGCCAAGCTTTACGATCAAACATGTTAAAAGAAAAGACTAACCTTACTTATTACTGTTTGGGGTGGTGAACCAATCTATTCACCTTGTTACATTTTGTAGATAGGTATGTAGTTAGGTAGATAAGTAGGCGTAGTTGTAGTTGTACAATAATTTCTAAACCATCCATCAAAATGTGAGGCATTTTCTCTGTGCGAACCAGACGAAAGTTATTTTTCCCAATGAATCAATTTTCTGCCCCTGATTCTTCCTGGGTACGTACCGGTGTTGTACCTACCTATCAGCTTACCAGACTTTGGCCGCTCGTGAGTAAAAATGCTCGGCTAACGGATAATTGTTAGCTCCTGATTATGGTGAGGAGATCTAATGCAGGTACAAGATGCTCGCAAGCTTGCCGAGAAAATCGAAAATCCAATAAGAATGGATAGATACTCTAGACCTTGCTGTTCCTCTTACCAAAGAAATATGATTCACGTATGATAAGGGTCGTCGAAATGGTTTCTAGACCTCCGTCCAAGAATCTTGGAACCTCTACAACTCCTTAACTTTGAGATTTTCAACATGGCTTTTGGAGCATGTATAATATGTATGTATATTATCACAAATTTGAGTTTGAGAATCTGCCTTTCTTCGGAGCTGAGCTGAGCTGAGCTATACTATACTATAGCCTTTGTTTGCTTGCTAGCTGGCTAATTAGGTAAAACAGAAACGAAACAAAAACGCAACCAACAGAGAATTTTGCAACATTTCGCTGCTCATCCATGTCAACCCCAGACTCTCGTTCTTGCAATCTTGACAAGCACCAACATTCAGGGAGGGAAATTCATGCGAGACCCTGTTGGAAATCTTGTTGGTCCCACACGGTCGTTTCATTAATCAATACGAGATGAACTGCCGCATGCTCTGTGGCATCTGGACTTCTCGATATGACATCACGTTTGCTGGATGAGGTTTTATACATATTCTTTGAGATGTGCTTTTCCGTGGGACGGGAGGAAAGAGATATTCGTGTGTATTATGAACCTGTCGTTTTGTTGTAGAGTTAAATACCTCATACAATGTGAAGTTCGATGAATCGGGAGTTTACAGTAGGTGGATGGATGACAGTGACCCGATGACTAGATTCAATGCTTCACAACCATAATTCCTTGGTACACTCTTCCTCCGTAGATCTAGGCTGTCCATCTATCAATTGATCTATGTATCTGTGAAGGAATGCCTACAAGGTCATTACCCAGCCAAGGCTCTTTACACCTGTCCATTGACAATCCAAACGACCACGGTGATCTCCACCACGCCTTTCAACCCAACCTTTTTGATCCTTCAGGAACGATCTTTCTTGTAAATATACATGACATTGAGGCCGTGTTTCGGGTTTCACAGTATTTCCAGAAAATCCAGTCAGACTTCATCCTTTGCTCTTTCTTCGCCTCCAGTGTTTCGAGATTCTCCTTACTGTACGTACGTAGCTAACTAATGCATCCATCCCAATAATTGATTCCTCCCATCTATTGAATTCTCCACGCGAAACGAACATTTGAAAATCGCAAGACCATCAAATGAATCATCGCACTGGTAACTTTTCAATATTGTGAAAACGTTAGATCTTCACGAATCGGTATGAAATGCAATATGTCTACAGGCACAGTTGTACAACACTGTTTCAACTGAAACACCATACATAGCACTATCCCTCTCCCTCGTGCACCTCATGATACAAGAACGCAAAATTCCCCGGTCGTTGTGTTCATGAATGAGATTTGTTTCGAGGGAGAAAATAGCGTTCTAGTTCTAAGGAATTGATTGAATGCATGATTCGTATCGCATACTGAATAATCATCTCATACGGATTATTCACCTACCAGCGCTCACACGAGTTGTCCTTCCCGGGGGTCCTCAGCGATAAATCTATGCTTGAATCAGAAGTGAAATTATAATCTCCAGACTTTTTATGCTTCCTCTTCCTCATCTTACATCTCTATCTCGATATCTCGAGATTCAAATCATAATTTTATTCGCATCAATATCATTTCATATCACATCTCCTCACAAATTGACCGCTCCCTACCCGTCTACCCACGAAAAAACACCATCGCCATCACCACCACTCTCCGCCCAAACCCAAAAAGTACGTACCGTCCTTAGTCCCGGCTGTCCGAGATGAAGCAAAAAAGGCTTGTATAAAGTGTTTCAAGCAGAGTGCAAAGTGACAGCGGCCACCCCTACCACTAGCCCATCGCGAGCCCATCCAGAATTCCCCTAGTGTCCGCGCCCTCATCTTGCAGCAGCATGATTCGTTTGCTAACCCTCCGTGAGCTCAAAGATCCAATTACAGCTCTCGAAGAACACACCCCCTGCAGAATACCTCCTCTCCTTCACAAAGTCTAGTCGATACCAACCCGAGAGATTTCGTCCAAGCCATCCTGGTTTCGTCTTGGTTCATCTTATTTCTTTCGTGCTTTTCGGTTTATAGTACTTACTTAGGTATTACGAAAAATAACCCAGAGAAAGGAAAGAAAGAAAGAAAGGGATTTTCTTTATTCATTGAGTCTGCATATTAAAGAAATAATAACACGCTAGCACGCTACTTGGAAATCGTACAGGTAAGTGAAGTTGGCATGAGTGAAGATTTAGTATCGTGGATGTGCTATCTTCGGTCTATCCCGCACGCTATCAAATTGACAAGAGAGTTCTTTGATGATGAAGATAGGTGTTCTTGTCGTAAATAATGTACTTGTGTTTCTTCTTTATGTGTTTCTATTCCGAGGAATAAAGAATGGATTTAATGTGATTGTCTAGTTTCTATTATTGTATCCTCTTCGCTTTTTGGTTCCTGCATGACGAGTTGCGAGGAAAGATTTAATAAAGGGAATCTTTTGCCGACGGAGAAGAGAAGAAGAGAAGTTTGATATCGCGATATAACTTCAAAGAAATCCATCGACATTATCGATCTGTACGCAGAGTACGGAAATTACCCTTGATTATTTAATATCAATCCAATTCCCCCTTCAATTCTTCTAAACTCCATTCACCAGAATATTATCTACATTCACTCATTTATTTGAACATTCATTACCCTTTTGAGTTATTTTGATTAGAAAATATCCTTGTTAAACATCATCATCCAATCCTTCTACTTTCCACCACAAACCCTGGACCAAAGCACTTTCAAAGTACCCACTAAATCTTATTAGCACCGCTCCACAGCAAACCAACCCCAGTCTCACCCATCCATCAAACTTTACTCCTTTCAAATAAAACCACCTTCTTTTCCGCCCATCTGGATTTCGTCCTTTTTACCCACCACCACCACATTTACATTCCTTACAACCAGTCTTTCGAGGCACTTACACTCATTCGAGCAGCTTGAAATTCTTCGAAAGAATATATCCTCACGAGTACAGCAGTGCTGCCAATCTTTCAACGCCAATTTCTTAACGAAACTCCCGGTCCAAGTACACTCTCTCACTTTCTCGAAGAAAGCATCGAAAATTCCAAAAGTCATCTCAACACAAGGAAATTAAACCCCCCACATTACCATCAACATCAATCAAAATGCGTTCCTCAATCGCTCTCGCTTCCCTCTGCGCTGCCTTTGCAGCTGCTTCCCCACTCGTCAAGAAGGGTCTTGAGATCGCCGCTCCCGTTCAAGTCGTCGAGACACAAGTTGATGTCGTGACAAACGTGGTCATGGTCACTGTTACTGGAGAGCCAGTCATCGTTACCGCTGGAGCCGAATCTACCCCCGCTCCCGTTATCGTGACTGTCACTGCCCCAGCTCAATCTAGACCTCACAGACACTCTCACTCTCAAGCCGCCCCTGCCCCGGCACCAACTACAACTTCCCAAGCTGTCGTTGTCGTTACTGAAACCCAAGCTCCAACTACCTACGCCGCCGCTCCAGCTACCACTGAAGCTGCTGCCCCCGTTGTTGCTACCACTGAAGCTGCCGCCGCCAAGGTTGTTGCTGTCACTACAAGCTCCGCCGCCCCTGTTGTAGCTACTACTCAAGCTGCCTCCGCCACCGATGCTCTCACCCCAACTTGTGTCGCTGCACACAACGATGCTCGTGCTAGTCATCAAGCTAGCGCCATGACCTGGAATCAAACCCTTGCTGACTACGCCGCTCAAGAGGGTAGCTGTACCACATTCGCCCACGACTTGTAAGTTTTCTTCCTCTCTCATATATTGGAATATTATGCTAATACACAATAGGACCGCTGGTGGTGGTGGATATGGACAAAACATCGCTGTTTCCGGAAACTCTGACGCAACTGCTTTTACTACCGAAGCCGCCCTCGCTGATCATATCAAGCAATGGTATGAGGAGGAATCTCTCTTCGGATCCTTGTACGGTGTTGCCAGCCCATCCGAGGCTGTCGGTGACTTCTTGCATTTCACTCAAATTGTCTGGCAAGGATCCCACCAAGTTGGATGTGCCGTCAAGACTTGCGGAACTGACAACTCCATCTACCCAGGCATGTACATCTGGTACAGCGTCTGCAACTACTACCCAGCAGGAAACGTTATCGGTGAATTTGCCACCAACGTTCTTTCTTAAATGATATCATGCCCATTCGCACATAAAGGAGTTCTTGGCGTTTAAGCTCTTGAGCCTAGCTTACCTTTCATGTATGAACTTCTATTGAGAGGGGGGTTTTGTTGCCGAGCTCTGGACCGCAACTTTATACCTTCGATACGCATCTAACGACATCATATAAAAAATGGACAGAAATGGATGGATCTCGCGTCTTCCCTGGGTGTTTGACGACCTTCTTAACTTTATGCGTTGCGCCTTTTAGATACCCCTTGATAGACTTGGGTTCCTAATTGCTTTAAGTTATTTCGCACGTATTAGCATTCTTCTGCTCATCATTCAGTTCTTGTACATAGTTGAACTTAAATAGGTCCTTGAGATCCTTTTTCCAAAACTTCATTAGTTCCTGATTGTATCTGATTGTGATTTGACTGTGATTTGATTGTGATTTACTATCCCTGGAGATATGCCGAAGTGTAAGATGATTGATCGATTACCTTCAGATCAATGAGGAATCTCGTTAATCTTCACCCGCGTTCTTGGGCGTTGATCCGATCTAGTTCAAACGGATCTACAACGATGTGACGATAGATGCATGGTTGAAGTGAGGTGTGATTGAGATTTGTGCAGGATGAATAAAGCTTGGCAAAAATGAGTCAGTCTTCGGTAGTGGCAGCGCAGCTGCGGGATAAAACGGTCCGTGCCTATATCTGAGCTAATCAAGAGGTGATGGAATACTGACGATAAGGCGATACGCCTAGAAATGTCTCGACTTTTTCTATCTTCACACAATACTAGGTACATGAAGATATCTTTCTGGATTCAGGTAGTGTTTGTACTCTTCTTCTAATGCTTGGACTATTTTTGGACATCTATTTGAGTGTAAGATATCTTGAATTATATCTGATATTCGTTTGAAACAAAGTCGTCTTTCGAAAACAAAAGTGTGCTATTTATCAGGATAACGAGGCAGCCGTTAGTGACCTTGAGAGTCAACTCGACAACACAGACAACTCAACTCCACTTCTCGCGCACGCGAATTTCACCTTCCCATTTGAGATTGAACATACAGATTACGGTCCACTTCAAGACCATCAAACCTTTCAATTCAAAGATAGACATTTGAGTTCAGAGCATGATGAGTTCAAACATGCGTGGAGTGGGGGAGGCGCAAGGCATTGGACAGGCTTTGAAGGGTATGTTGGGAAAGGCCACTACGACGGTACCGGAACAGAAGAATGATAAAGTGCAGCTGGTCAATAGAGCCAGTGAAAGCAAGAGTCCATATGTTCGCGCTCATTCTGCGAATCCGGTGGCATGGCAGCTTTGGGGGGATGAAGCAATTGACTTGGCGCGTCGGGAAAATAAATTGTTGTTTGTGAGCATTGGTTACAGCTCCTGTCATTGTAAGTCCTCCCTCTTTTGAAACTCGCCGTAGATACGACCAAGAGCTTACGACATGGGACAAAGGGTGCCATATAATGGAGCGCGAGTCATTCGAAAACGAAGAAGTAGCTGCAAGATTAAATAACTCATTTATACCCATCAAAGTCGATCGCGAAGAACGTCCGGATATTGATAGAATTTATATGAACTTTGTGCAAGCGACGACTGGCTCTGGAGGATGGCCGCTGAATGTCTTCCTGACACCGAGTTTGGAGCCAGTGTTTGGGGGTACATATTGGCGGGGACCAAGTAAGACGACAGATTTCGAAGATCAGGTCGACTTTTTGGGAATTCTGGATAAATTGAGTACTGTCTGGTCAGAACAGGAATCGCGATGTAGACAGGACTCGGCACAAAGTTTGCAGCAATTGAAGGATTTCGCTAACGAGGGTACCTTGAGTAACAGACTGGGGGAGGGTGTGGACAATATTGATCTCGAATTACTGGAAGAAGTCACTGAACATTTCGCTAGTAGCTATGATCAGGCAAATGGAGGGTTTGGTTCAGCTCCAAAGTTTCCTACCCCTTCGAAAATTGCCTTCTTGCTCCGTTTGGGCCAATTCCCACAAGCTGTAATTGACATTGTTGGACTTCCTGATTGCCAAAACGCCCAGGAAATTGCTATTGCAACTCTTCGAAAAATGGCTCGTGGTGGAATTCATGATCATATTGGAAATGGCTTCGCTAGATATTCTGCCACTGCAGATTGGTCTCTTCCCCACTTCGAAAAAATGCTTTACGATAATGCGCAGCTTCTACATCTCTATTTGGATGGCTTTCTTTTGTCGCGAGACCCGGAGTTTCTAGGAGTCGCATACGATATCGCAAATTATTTGACGACCACTCTTTCACACTCGGAGGGAGGATTCCATTCCAGCGAAGATGCCGATAGTTATTATAAAAATGGCGATTCCGAGAAACGAGAAGGCGCCTATTATGTTTGGACTAAACGAGAATTTGAAAATATTCTTGGCAGCGAACGTGGACTGATACTTTCAGCTTTCTTCAATGTTACTAGTCATGGTAATGTAGCGCAGGAAAATGATCCACATGACGAATTCATGGACCAGAACGTATTGGCCATTTCAAGCACTCCATCTGCATTAGCAAGTCAATTTGGCATCAAGGAGGCTGAAATTATAAAGGTTATTAAAGAAGGCAAAGCGCAATTAAGAAGACGTCGAGAAGCTGACCGGGTAAAGCCGGCTATGGATGATAAAATCGTTGTCAGCTGGAATGGTATTGCGATAGGGGCTTTGGCTAGATTATCCTCTGTTATCAACGGTTTTGATCCAATCAAGGCTCAAGAGTACCTTAATGCAGCCCTCAAGGCAGCTACATTTATCAAGGAAAATCTGTATGACGATAAAGCCAAGATTCTCTACCGGATTTGGCGTGAAGGACGAGGTGATACTCAAGGATTTGCGGACGATTATGCATTTTTGATTGAAGGACTTATCGATTTATATGAAACTACTTTCGACGAGAAGTGGCTTCAATGGGCCGATGAACTTCAACGTAAGTAATCCTTCTTTCAATTCATACAGAGTGATACTAATGGCAATCAATAGAATCGCAAATAAATCTTTTCTATGACGGTAATGGTACGGGTGCATTCTTTTCAACTGCCGCTTCTGCTCCAGACGTAATCCTTCGTCTCAAAGATGCCATGGATTCTTCCGAACCCTCTACGAATGGTGTCTCTTCCTCGAATTTGTATCGCCTATCTTCAATTTTCAACGATGAATCTTATGCAAAGAAAGCGAAGGAAACCGTGAAAAGTTTTGAATCGGAAATGCTACAATACCCGTGGTTATTCCCTAGTTTCATGCCGGCAATTGTAGCTAGTCACTTGGGTGTAAAGAGTGTGGTGATTCATGATGCAGCTGGTGATAATTTAGGGGGAAGATGGGTTCAAAAATCTGAGAAGGAGCCCCGAGGTTCTTTAGGATCGATCGTTCGGTTGAATTCTTCGGAGGGAAATGGACAGTGGTTGAGACAGAGAAATCTATTGTTGAAAGATGCGGGAAAGAGCGACAAGACTAAAATACTCGTCTGCGAAAATGGGGTATGTAAAGAAGAGGAAGAGCCAATCTTTGTGGACTCGGGTGTCAAGATGGAGGTAAGTCCCATGGAAAATGATAGTTTTCAAATGACCGGTTTGAAAGAATCATTATCGGGCTCGGGAGAAAGTTTAAATAAGAGTCAAGGGGAAACAGTCCTCAAGGGAAATCTACAGCAAGTAGATCTTGGGGCTAAAACTAGCGTCGCGGATAAAGGAAAGGAAAATTAGGTATATGTGAAAAGGAAAATATGTGGTTAGCTATCATGGCGTCTTTGTTGATAGGGGTTTAGCGGAGTTTCAAAGATGTGTATGGTATGGTATAGCGTGTATACAGTGAATGGATCTCGCTTACTTGCTTACTTGTCATGTTTGTTAATGTTCTCTCTGTTTGATCTTAGTGAAATGTGCTTAACGGCTAGTGTAGCTTTCCAATTTGAAAATATGATTATAAATACGTCTTGAAGAGTGGAATCGTGGTAGGCGGCTGGACTTTTTAAGAATCGTTTGTGAGACTTATGGAGGCGCAAATTTTTATCAAGTGTTAAGTGTTGAGGTGTGTACTCGAGTATGAGTGTAGATTGCGATCCCGGAAGCTGAGGAGAGCATCTGAGAGAACATAAGTGAAATTTACTTGAGTACCTAGGTCCTAACTATGAATCGACGCTCCTCGAATGGTGTATGAATTTCGATTTAGTCATCGCGTTTGCTTTGTGAGTTTGGGAGTGTAGGCATTTGATGTTTGGTTTAGATCATCTTGTGTAGATGTTTAACAGTTGCAGCAAGTATGTATTGCAAATATTCATATTCATATGATTCTAGAGCCTGTTTTATAAAAATCACTTTCCTTTCTCTTTCTCTATCTCCCTTTTTTCTTTTTCTTGTCATTATTCTTTTTTGGTTACTAAAGGGAGAGAAGACTCCCTTTTCCAAGATTGAAAAGCGTATCATGTGATACTTGTATAAGAGATAGACTGTGGAATCTGGCTTAGCATAATTTGTACATTTGCATCTGATAAAGACTCTTCACGGGAATCTCGGTACATGGATCTTTATTTTTTTGCGGGCTTTGAAATACTTGCTCGGATATCGTTCTGCGAATCGGATTTTTCGGATGATTGATGAGTATTGGATACATGAAATCAGGGTTTCTTATAGTCTGTGAATGTTAAGTAAATTTGTGTAATTAGATACTTCTCTGATACTGCAACCTTCTCTTTTAATCATATGTTATGTGTACCAAACTCGTCCCCAAACTTGCACTTGTTCACAACACAATACAACAGGAAAGGCATTTTCAAAATTCTTCTTGTAGCTAAAATAGAGAGAACACTAATGTGTATATGATTCTATCTAACTAGACGACGTTTAAATTTTAAATATTCATTCTAAGAGTATCCCACACTCTCCAGTTTCTGTTATACTCGTAACCTCTAGGAAAATCTAAAGGCTCAAAATTGCATCATAACCCTCCTCACTCATATAAATAGAAAAGTTCGCGGTACTCCCAAACTACCTCTTGTCTCCTAGACCGAGATTCCATCCGTTCCAACTCCTCGCTATTAATCATCCTGTCCTCCCTAACCCTATTTTCACAAAACCGAGAATACCAAATATATATGTCCAATAAGAGTGTGCACCAAAGAAACTAGGTTCAACATGCGTGTTGACCCAGCGATTCAGAAGAGGAAGATGGTGTTTCGAAATGACCCACACGAGTACCCCGATCCATGTTCTCTATCGCCGTAGTACGGTTATCTGTATTCTTGTCCTCCGTTTCGCAATCTTTTCTTTCCTCGTCCGTCAGTCTAGCTGTCGCGGAGTCGATTTTGCAAAAGGGAATCAGGATACACAATGCGATACTTGCGCATGTGACCTCGAACCAAAATACGGCTCTGTAACTACCTCGCAAACTTCCGCTTTTGTTCTGCACGGCGTTTGCAATGATTTCAGAGATACCCAGGCATACCGCGATAGAAAATTGCATTATCGAGTTTATCAGGGCGCCTGCAAGACCCTGTTGAGATGAAGGTAAAGAAGTAGTGATAAAGATAGTAGTGACGTTGAATGTTATATCTATACCAAGAGTTGCAAAGGTCATTGCGGTGAATACCCATGCCCAGAATGTTGCATGTATAGGAGCGAGTGCGAATAGTAAAGGGGCAATGATCCAGCATATACCAGAGAAGATGATCAGGACAGTGCCGGGAATGAGATGGAGTATGAAGCCGCCGAATGTACCGATAAGACATCCGCCAATAGCAAGTGGAATAAACCATGCAACCAGTTGCAGGCACGAAGCACCTAATATGTTGGTACAGTAGAATGTAGCATAAAGAAGGAAGACTCCAAGACTTCCGTATGTGAAAAATAAAGCGATGAATAGAGGTTTCATTTTCGGGACGGCAAAAAGCGAATATGGTAAGAGTGGCTGACTTGCAACATATCGCTCGACGTACATCGCGATTGCGAAAAGAACTATCCCTGACACAAATGTAATAATGATATATGGAGTCTTGAACCCGTGCGACGCATAAGCGCTTTGCGTTATGGCGAAAACAAAAAGTATGAAACTGGCTGCTAGAAGCCCTGATCCAAGCCAATCCATCTGAAGGTCATCGCGCTTATCGTTTTCGGATGGAATGCAAAGCATTGCAGAAGCGACACTTAAGAAAGATAAAATAGCCCCCACCCAGAAGAACCTAAAACGTGTTAATCTAATCCATTCAACAGATATGATTGTACATACCATGCCCATTTAGCAAATTCGGCAGTCAGCCCAGCAAAGAAAATGCCGATGAAAAATCCAGCGGCCCCACATGCACCATATATACCTAAGAAGCGGTCAGATATGCATTGGTTTTATCAAGGGTTACTCACTGAAAACGAGATTCTTCCGTGGTCCCGGTCGATATGTTCGACCGAGTAACATCATCCCAGATGGCATGAATGCAGCTGGCCCCAACCCCTGCAAAGCCCGGCATATATCAAGCATATATTGATCTTTCGAGAATCCAGCAATCAACGACCAGAGCGTGAGCCACGCGAGACCAGCGATATAGACTCGTCTTCCACCGTATATATCTGCCAGTCTACCGAAGGGTAGCATTACGGACGAAACCATCAGAGAATAAGCTGTTGCTGGCCATGTTGATGAGGATATTGGGATATTGAGATCTTCCATAAGGCTTGGAACAATGACGGCAAATCCGCTAACGAAATACTCCTGTAGGAAAGGTGTAAGAACGTAACCATTTCTCACTATTTGATTTTGACATACCGAAAGAACTTGAGAAACACAAGTAGAAAATCTGAGACATCTCATACATCAGCGTTGAAAGGGACAGCCGGAGTCGAGACACTATCTCCTTATCGGTGGGTTTTGACTCCTCAGGTCGTTTGAGAGAAAATCCATTTGGAAGATCAACATCACCCGAAAGATTCAAATGGAACAAATGGAACACGGCAATTTTACAAGATAGAAGAGGAAGATGACGTACACAAATCCGATTTCAGTCCATACTGTCTTGAACTGAGGCGGTCTTTGGCGACCTAAGCGCTCGATATCAGATTTCGCTAAATTCGACATGAGAAATATACAAACAGGTCACCGAGGAAAGTACGAGGGGACTATTCTACTTGTACTTTCACAGTAGGTAGGGACAAGCAAATTTATTAGGACGAAGAGTCCAATCAGCGGTTAAAGCGCACACTCTTGCGCACTCTCGCACATTGTTGGATGATGGTCCACATATTTCCAATATGCCGTTCAAGCACCCCTCCAAATCCCTCAGGATATTTGCATACTCGACCAGATGGCTGGTATCAAAGAACATCCATACAGCGGATGCAGCGCCTATTCCACACTTGCCGGCGAGACTTCCCCGATCCTTGCCAGCAGATAGTTCAGAAGACACGACCAATGACATGTTTGCACATGCTGTAATGTGCTCTGATGGAGTACTCGGTCATTCTAGACGCAAAAGGACACAAACTTTAACTGCTGATTTTGACCATAGATAGACAAGACGGAGCAATGCTTGTTGTAATGAATTATTGAATGATTGGAAGAGATAATTCTGCTCAAGAAGATGATGGGGGAGTGGAGAAGGCCCACGAATAAGCACTAAGAGTTGACAATGGTTAGCTCAGCCGTTGCCATTTTTACTAGATTGATGAAGAACGCCAAATGATGGAAAAGCAGCAAGCTGGCGGTAGAAAAGGGTTAAACGCCCGTCGGCAGTCACTACCTATATGAGTAAGCCGCTTAGCCAATCAACCTGCCTCGAACTTATCTCGAACCTATCAACTTGATAAGCTAAGCCAGCGGACCTTGAATTCTCATCTATAATACTTCCACCAACCTTTTCTTCCATTTCAATACAAATAAAGAGGTTCCGAATGTCAACCCAAGGGAAAATACAATTTAAAGCCACGAGGGCATTATCGAGCCTGGCTATTGCCAGATCAGCATGCTATGGGAAGCTCGAGCCATTGAGAATTCCACGTATGGAGCATACTTGGTATTCCTCCGTGGCATCTCCGTATTTATGCAAAATCAGTTTCATACCAAGTGGCGCATAACAGCCTCTACTTTAGCTATATTTGTTCGAGCCCGACACTCAAATGGGTGTGCATCCTCAAGGAGGAGGCAAAAGTTGGGACGCAAGAGCTTGCTTTTCAAAATATTCTGGCATCTGCGCCCAAGCAAAGTAAAATGCCCGAATATATCCACCCGGAAAGATCGCTGGCATTTAGAAAGTGCCGTTATAGAGTGAAATATATCGAACAAGTATGTATGCTTGGGTACACGTGCTTTCACTCCCGAAATAGTTTCTGGAACAACTCGTCCGAGACCATTACCTGCATTGGACGGAACGTCCGGCAGCGACTTGTTCGCCACGATATTTAACGAAGAAAAGTGGGCCGAAGAATACCCATGACACGCACCTCCTGTTGTGGCGGTGAAATGAGCGCTTTCGGTCTTCATCTGTTGCTTGACTAGACGACAAATATCGTGCCGAGATGCTTCAACGGGTATTTGAATCTCGAACCCACCCGATCTGTTCCACGCGATGCAAACCAAGCATCGCGGCTGAATTTCCAGGCTGCATGTACATCAACGCATAAAATAATGCTACATCCAGAAACTCTGTGCTGTTCTTCCCTTGGCATTCGACCTCTTGAATTTGATTTCATTTGAGAATACACTTCTCAGCCGCTTCATCCGCTTTCACCCCCTCCATAGTACCATTCTTGAGCCTGGACTTAATCTTTCAACTCGTTTTTAAATCCGGTACATCTGTTCCCCACTATTATGAGACCTCGCTTCAGTATAAAACTCGTCTCTTGTAACACTAGGTCGTGTGACCTCTTGAAAGTTTCTTGGTGTTCCCATATTCTCTATCATGTGTTCAATGGTTGCATTTTCTCCATAATAGTAAAGAGAGGACAGAATACTTGAGTACATGTTCGTCTCAAGCACAAAAAGATACAGGAACGATGGTAAGGCCGTGCTCAAGCTATTCTAATTTGTCGAGATTGTCATCGTAACATCTCTCTACTAGCTAGAAGCTAAGTTGAGCATGTCAAAAAGGGTAGCAACAAACGAGACAAAGGGCAGACTGCATTCCTACCTCTATCTCAGCTATTCTTGTGATACAACTACTCTTGGCGATTACAGTAAGGTATTAGGCTCCCTTTAACGTCTTGAGGCCCTTTAATTATTGTTCTATCTACCCTAGAGTCATGCCAGGTGCATTATTGTCGCTATCGTTCCATGCTATACTATCCAAATTATCTCTTTAGATGCACACTTACCATCCGTAGACAAGTTAGAATGCGCCATAAACAAGCCGACCACGTGTCATACTAGCTACAATACTGAAGAGGTATAGGCCAGTTTGCTCTTATTGAGGGACATTGTCTGGCCAGCTTGACGAACTTGACTCAAACCCAAACTTAGAAACTCTTTCTAGATTTCTCCATAGCCAAGTAGTCAACAATAAAAGAACACTGTGGATATAAGATAGGATGTAGGATTCTTTCCTCAATGAAAATGGTTTGCGCTGAAGTCTAGATGACGTCAATCCATAGATCTCTACTACGGGTTGAATGCTGAGAAGGCTATGCTCCAGATTATTCAATATACCAAATAGGTACAATATTCTTGAATCAATCTCCGTGATTAAATTAATTTTCGAATTATTTTCAGAAGATGCAGAAGCTCAAATTTGCTGATTTCCTGGGATAAACAATTTGGTTATAAAACAGCGGAGACACGTACGTATATTTGCAACCCCTACAACACAAAGCATACTCAACATAACCAGCCTAAAACTCTTCCATCCCCTATTCTACTCTACTTCATCCATCAGTCCCCCTCAACTCTACGTATACAAGTCCAAATCAATCTCATGATCCATCTCCTCCCCCTGCATCTCCCTCTGCGTATCCATCCCCACAAACCCCACATTAACATTCGTCTCTTCCTTCTCAACCACCTGTTCCACCTTCATCAAAACATACCAATATCCCTCTTTCATATGCTCCTCACATCTCGCATTCCGACTCAAAATCATCACATCCTGCTTCCTCTCCACCCCATCCTCATCATCCAACGCCCCCGCCTTACCTAGTACATCCACCTCGCTGCCCTCGGCAAATATCCCTTCTACTTCATCGCGCGGCTCGTACGCGATGAAATATCGATGCACTTCTGTGCATGTGGTTAAGGAAAGATGCGAGAATCGGTAATAGGTAGTGCACGCTGGGAGTTTAGCCACAGCCGGAGGTAAATATATGATCGTGAGGGAATCGACGAGGAAAGTGTAGAAGCGTTGGAGATCAGGAGGGAAAGAGGATGAGAGAGGAAGCGGTTTGCGACAGCAGAAATAAGGCTCGCTGGGTAAGGACGGTACGATCGTGGTGGAGGATGGAGCGGCAGTGCGGGTGTTGGGTGGGGGAGAGGGTTTTTTGTAGGCGCCTGCTGAGGGGGGTTTGGGGGTGGAGCGAGGTGTGTGTTTGGGTGTTCCTTTAGGAGTGTTCTTTTGGGATTGTTGTTTTGAAGCTCCCCCTTTTGGGGGAGGCTTGGTGATTTTGGATGGTTTGAGGGTTGCTTTGGTGGGGTTTAAAATGTCGATGTCGACGTCGGCGATGTCTTCTTCGGCTTCTTTACTGGGTTTGTATGGATCATCTCGATCACCTTTTTTCTGGCCCGCTCGTGGCATATTTGCTCCTGGTTGCTTATTTCTGGGTTTGATTGATTATCGTTGTGTAAGGAGAAAAGGTAGATAGTTTCTGCGAAGGTTGAAAAGACCGAAGAATAGTATAAAGTTCGTTATTCTTTGTTGTGCTAAAACTCACCCTAAGACGCATTTCGATTCTCTTTGTTTGTGTAGTCGTGAGTACTTGAAGTTTCCACATTAATGTCTCATGCTGATTCCTTTGTTCTGATAGCCAAACTGATTCAGAATAATGCCAATAGAATCTCATAAAGCTATGCTATTTCTTTATGTATGGATGGAATTTCAAGCCTCTCCAATCGGATAAAGAAACATTTTGCGGGCATAGCATCACTGTGGAATTCGGATTAATTATTAGGCCCCCTAAGATTTGTACATACTACGATACTACGATTGTACAAAAGTAGCAAAAGCATACCCCTATACAAATTCTCACTCCTTACGAGCATCCCCAAAATGCCTTGGCCCAATTCCCTTTCCCAACGCCCCCCTATCCCCACTCCAAGCGAGGGCGCCAAAAACACCACCTCATCACCCTCCAAACCCCAACCCAAAATCGACGAGAAAGCAGATGACGAATCTCATCCTACACCAGTATCCCCTACAGATCCCGATCGACGCTTCTCCTTCATCTCCCCCACCACTGTAATCCCCACAAGTACCCAATCCTCTCCACCCCCCCAAGACCTCACCGCAGAAGGCCTCCTCGCACTAACCTCCCAACCCCTCAGTCACGGCGGAACCTGGAGCTCTGCATCTCCCACCCCACGAGCCCGATTCCTCCCACGAGCCACCGAAAAAATCTACACCGTTCATACCGGTGACATCTACCCCAAAACTGCCCGCGAAATAGCTGACGATAAACGCTGGACATCGAGGCGCAAAAACAGGGAAAACTTCAAGAGAATTGAAGCAAAGGAAGAGCATCTGGCCCAGCAGAGAGAGAGAGCGCGATGGTTTAAGCCGGCGAAGAAAATTGAGTATTTTGAAGAGGAGGGTGCAAAGAACTGGGGTGCTTGGGAGAAGAAAAAATGGTATTGATATTGAGTTAAAATCCTGGGCAGATCAAGATATGGATTTTCTTTCCGAGCAGCGAGTGGAAATTGAATAAAGAGGAACGAGATTGGAAACTTCCTTACACCTCGTATCGACAACATCTTCTTTAGTACCTTTTCTGATTCAGAGACTGGTCTCGTTGAAGAATTCTTAGTTTTTGAAATTAAATATACAATTTGACATCGTACATAAATTTGACATTTCAGATGAAACATACGATTGAGTGGCTACATGTGAAGTGATACAGATATCAAGAAACTTTTGGTTTAACAAATTGCAATCTGAGCCGGTAAAAATACTGTTGTGTATGCCATGTATACATTCGTGGAGACCCGAACCACAGTCATGAAAAGTGAAACTGTCAGTAAGTTTCGCTTAACAACATTTCCGATAGTTTGTGAGAATCTGGTTAAATTGAAAGAAAACAATGGAATGAGATTGAAAAGATTGGGAAGGAAAGGAGCGTTAAAGAGCAATCAAAATCCTAGATGTAGACATTACATTATCCCCTATGCCAAAACATTATGTCTCTCTAACTACACCCTTCGCCTGAAGTTCTAAAAATGATATCGCTTTTCGATGGTATACCCAACAACTTCTTAGTCAATACCAAAGAATGCACTGTCAAATTGACCATGCTCCATTTCGCCTATTTCTCCTCCAACATTTCCATCGTCATCATTCCCAAAGAATAAATCATCAAATACACTTTCGTCGGCTCCGACCATATTATCAAGATTTGAGTCCATGTCCATGTTATTATTATTGTCATTATTGTTGTCATTCGTATCGTTGCCAGCAGCCATGTTCAGGATATCATCCATCATATCTCCTTTAGCAGTTGTCGTAGTGATGTTTGCGCTATTGTGATTATTATTGTTATTATTATTATTAGAAGAAGCCTCGTTAGAAGGTTGTAAATCGTTCATGTTGAAATCTTGAGGATTGCTCCCAAATGTTGAGAGGTCGAACTCGGTATTTTGTGTGTGGTTATTATCTTGACTTTGAGTATTGGTGGCTGTGTCCAGCATTGAAAAATCCATGCTGTCGAAGTTGAGAGCTGCGGAATCTACGTTGGTAGCGCTGTCTGGATTATCGAAAAGGGAATCGATTGAAGAATCTTGTCCGCCTCCTGTGGCCGTTGCAGGGGCGTCTGTAGAGGCCTGAAGCGTAGTGTTTATTCCAAGGCCAATTGGTTGGGACTTGTTGTCGTTTGTACTGGGTGGAGATAAAATCGTGGGCTCTTTCATCTCTTCCTCATCTCTAATTTCTTTCGACATTTCATTTTTGATTGGGGGTTCCTCTTCCTTCGCAATTGTTGGCATGGAATTGTTGTCTTGGATCGTCTCTTGCTTTATTGCTGAAGGTATATCTTCGTATGGGATATGCGGAGGTGGTGTGGGCTCATGTGCGACGGGGATCTCGATGTTTTGAGCAGGCGGGTTCTCTGCCGCAATTCGTTTCGATCGCAATTCCTCTAAATCTCGACCCAAAACAGATTTTGCCCGTATCTGTACTCTCAGGTCAATGCCGCGCAACTAAATATTCAAGCAGTCAATCTACTTACAATCTCAGCTTCAAGATCGTCCAACGCTCGGTGGAAATTGTCGGTTATAGATGGAATAGTCGAGTGTAGTCTTATGGCGGAAATGGCCATAGATTTTCCTCCCTCTATACCTGTGGCGCGAAGAGCTTTGCCAGTCTCTATAAGCTGATAACTATGTTAGATTATGAGTTAATGATCGAAACCCCAGAGTACATACGATCGCATTGATCTGAATTTGCAGAATCTCCAAAGGAGTTTTGGGTTGTTGTGCTTGAGCCATGGTCAAAAGGGAGTTAGTGTGCTAGCAGCTGGTGTGAAGATTGGTAGAAGAGTTTTCTAAGAACAAGGTTGAATTTATTATAGTGGAGAGGAGAGTCAACCTTCCTGTCCAGAAACGATATCTGTGTGGTGAAGATTGGTAGACTTTTAGGTTTCCAATGATGGTTTCATCATAGTACAGATGAAAGTCAATGGAGGCTCGGGGAACATTGTTCCGCTGATACCCACTTTAACGACCACTGTACCAAGCTTACATAAGTCTCACAAGGCTCATTCTGAGCTTTGCACGCTTTACTAATAATTGATGCTCAATCAAAGCTTTTTGTCATATCCCCTTGTTCCTGTGGTTCAGCAGGTACGGGCCTGTATAGAGAATAGTCAGAATCAAAATCAAAATCAAAATTCAGCACATGCCAATCAGCCAGCCTGTCTACATACACATACACAATTAACCCGAAATATAGTTGAGTCATGTCTTTCCTTGATGCAATTTTCGATGCCTCACCGCATGCAAAGATGTTCAAGAGGCTTGTGCAAACCTACCAACCAGGAGTGATCTTCAAAGTAGGATGGTAAAACTGGAGGGGTAATGTAGCAAAAGGAATGGTGAATGAGTAGGTATGATGTAAAGGGTTATTGCCCTCAGACCTCGATGTTGTGATAGAAATGTGTTCACTCAATGCAGGTGACATCTCGCTGTTGGTTTCATGCTGGAATACCATGGAGCTATTGACGAATGAGTTGCTGAGAACCCATGTTGCCCTTTTCACTGCTTTTGAAGTACAAATGAGGCGTAAAATCACACCTCCCTGATAAGCAAAGCAATTTCCACCCTAAATTAATACCAATCACCCAATGAAAGCAAAGGATAGAAGGAGGTTCGATAGCATTCTGCTCCATAGGAAGTGGCCAAGACAAATCCAAAGGTATTCTTGAATCAAGGTACAGTACCTGATGAACCTGATGCACTTGATAACACCCTTTAAGAGAGCTTCCATAATTGCTTCATACCTAAAACACTTGGTTGGTTGCTCGAATCTGTTAGATGATCTCCTTAATAACACAACTTCTTATCCGTCTTTAGCTTGCCGGAACTATCAAGAAAATGGATTATCCGTCAAAACTAGAGCTGTCGGGTCGTAAACTTTGATTAAACCCCTCTGATGAGATTGCAAGATAAGCTTCGATTCCATGTCTGTGTGGTGCTCACTGCACTGCTCAATGCTCATGCCTGGGGCCGCACGGAAGTTTAACTTCAGGAAAGATGGGATGATCTGTCCACAAGACGTTGACTAATACCTTGTACTATCATATGGATTGAGTAATTTGCCAATCGGCATCTCTTGATATTCCTTCCCGTCGGTATAGCATCATCTACTTCCTTACAGTAACTTTCTCGGACCGCTCCAGCGGGCAGCGTTTGAATAGAGCAATGATTCCGTTCCGTGCGTGCTGTGCAACGGGGGGTCTTGTTGGTAGTTTACATACAGACAGTTCATGCACAATATCCTGACTGTCGGCGATGGCCAATGAAGATTGAACCCAGGTAGGCAGGAGACAGGTATCTGACAACCAATCACAAGATTCCTGTGAATTGATTTGAGGAAGAAGTCGAATGAAGTAATTTGGGAAAGAATCAAGATTTTGGGCAAAAGATATAGAAGAAGCCAAGATATTTATAGAAACATAAACATATATTGAGGAAGTGAATCTTTATCCTGTAGGTAGCTGACTGTCCGTTTATGATAGATGTCCTCAAGGGACTGAGTTCATATCCTAGCTAGGGTAGGTACCGTTCACCAATTGATCGTGAACGATGCGACCCTCAAGAAGTGATCCTGAGCTGTATACACAAGCATCATTATCATACCTACTAGCAAGTGTGTTACTTATTGTCAAGCATATGACTTGCACACTTCAATAGAATCTTGATCGAACTTCAAGCCAAAGCCAATAAATATGGAGCAGCGGGAGTACTTGATGATACCCATGAGAAGAAATCATGGACGATAATATCCCATCCAATACACGAACAGATCCCTTCCCCATCCAACCCCACCATGCAAAATATCCGGAAGTAATGAAATTCTGAAGGCGAACCTCTTAATTGAATCAATTGAATTTGTCCCAAAGAGCTCACTTGCATTGAAAGGAAGAAATCTCCGTACATAAGCGAAAGAAGCAGACGGAAATGAGCAGTCGAGCAGTCAATCACATCAGGACCTAGTAGGTATGTTCTCATATGGTTGATATATTGCTGGGTGAGAAAGAATGTGAAAATCTGTTGGCTTAGTGAACCCAAAGGAATGGTAGATGCTAAGTACACGCAACGTATATGAATGTGTGTGAATATGGATGAACCAAGCTGTCCATGTTATTCTACATATATAAACATATAAACATATAAACACACACAGTGAATTGATTGCAATCCATAACCTCAGGTACCTACATATCATCCCTAGCCACATTCAATCTTTTTGGCTGACCCGGACCCTATCTGGTACCTAGTAGCCTTGTCTATTGATTAGCGTAGAAACTAACAGAAAGAAAGAAGAGCTACAACCTACCGTTTTTACCAGCAAAAGGACCCTCCTTCATTCAACTTGCAGTAAAAGTAATTTGCGCCGAACTTCTACTTTCACCTCCCCCCCGCCCCAGTTTCTCTTCATTCAACATCTTTTTTTCCTACTGTGTGCAAGAAAGATCATTTGCAGCGTCGTCTCTTTCCATCTCTCTTTTTCAATCTACTGTCAATACAAGGCGTTTGGATCTTCGAGTGGTGTTTGTCTCCTCTCTCTTCCTCTCGTCTTTTTTTACGGTCGTGATTGATTAATTTCTTTCATATTCATACCTCTCCAATCTATCATCATCGTCTCATCCTCTCTATTTCTCACTCGGTCTTCTGGGATTTGGTCGCAGAAAACCCCTCCTTTATCGATCTCCTACTCTCTGCTACTTCTGCATCATCCTAAGCTTCATCTTGAACTTCCTCTGTTCACTTTGAATTCCAAAGTTCAATTATTCATTCACACAACAAGTGCTTAACAACTTGTTGCTTATTTAACTTTCTCATCGATCTATTTCGCAAGTCATTTATCGAATTTTCGAGTCTCACGCGCTTCTTATCGTTCAAGTTACACAAGAACATAAATCAGCGCACCTTCGCAACTCAACTTTTTTCGTTCCTTGTATCTTCGATCTCTTTTCGATCCTCTCCAGACAATTTCCTACTTCCGATTTCTAAGTCTATCTACTTCCGAGCAAGTTTTTCAAAGAGACCACTTAAAGTACCATCTTTGATCCTATATTACAATGGCAGACAACGGTGCTCCAGGCAGTGCTCAGCTCCCACCACCACCGCAGACTTCTGCTGGTGCGCCAGGCTATGAGAATGGCCACAATAGCCAGGGCAATCCCTCGCATATGCCACCGCCACCACTTCCACCAGTCATCATTCCGCAAAACACAAATCCAATCCCAACTGCTATTACATCTCCTATGGGCGAGAATGGTGGGGTAATGTCGCCAGACAGCGCCGGTGGATTTGTTCGCCGAGCTGCACCAGAACCAAACAAGCGCGCACTATATGTTGGAGGTCTTGACCCAAGAGTCACTGAAGAAATACTCCGTCAAATTTTTGAAACAACTGGCCATGTTCAAAATGTCAAAATCATTCCTGACAAGAATGTAGGTGCTGTCAGTATCAATCTTTTCTATTACCGTCATGTCCCAGAGTCTCGAGCTCTCGGAGCCTACGAAATCTTTTAATAGGGTTTAACAGTCTCAACTCTTTTCTTTTCCATACATTGTACTTGTCAATAACATTATGCTAATCGAGGTCCAGTCAAAGGGATTCAACTATGGTTTCGTCGAATATGATGATCCTGGAGCAGCTGAGAGAGCCATGCAAACTTTGAATGGAAGACGTGTCCATCAGGCTGTAAGTGTCGTTCTATGGGTCCTTCAAGCAACAAGCTAATTTCATACAGGAAATTCGAGTGAACTGGGCTTATCAATCGAACACATCAAACAAGGAAGACACATCAAACCACTTCCACATCTTTGTTGGAGACCTCTCAAACGAGGTGAATGACGAGGTTCTATTACAGGCCTTCTCTGCCTTTGGATCTGTGTCCGAGGCACGTGTTATGTGGGACATGAAGACAGGAAGATCTAGGGGCTATGGCTTTGCTGCTTTCCGTGAACGTCAGGATGCCGAGAAGGCACTAAGCTCTATGGACGGTGAATGGCTGGGCTCCCGAGCTATTCGTTGCAACTGGGCCAACCAGAAGGGCCAGCCATCTATCTCGCAACAACAAGCCATGTCTGCTATGGGCATGACTCCTACCACGCCTTTTGGACATCATCACTTCCCGACCCATGGTGTTCAGAGCTATGATATGATTGTTCAACAGACTCCTCAATGGCAAACTACATGCTATGTTGGAAACTTGACACCATACACAACACAACAGGATCTTGTCCCATTGTTCCAGAATTTTGGATATGTCGTCGAGACTCGTTTCCAAGCCGATCGAGGCTTTGCTTTTGTAAAGATGGACTCTCATGAGAATGCCGCACTCGCCATTTGTCAATTGAGTGGATACAATGTCAACGGACGTCCTCTCAAGTGTAGTGTAAGTTTGACTTTTCCCTTTATACCTTTTCTATGCTAACGATTGTCCAGTGGGGTAAGGATAAAGCACCCACCTCAGCAGGCTTCGATGGCTCCCAGCAAAGCTACAGCCCTCAAGCCGGACCAACTCCTGGTGGATTCCCAGGTACACCCAACGCTTATTTCCCACAGTACGGTGGAATGCCTCCGCAAGCTGGACCTCAATCAGCTGGACCCATGGCTAATCAGCAGTCTCCAGGCCAGTTCGCTGGTCAACAAGGAGGATATGGTGGTCCTCCAGCTCAATCTCCAGCACAATACAGCAACCAACCAATGGGATATGGTGGCCCTGCCAGTGCTGGAGGATATGGTCGTGGTGCTCA